AGCACAAATATGATAATCATCCTTGCATTTGGAACAGCGCTTATCATGTCGACGACATCTCCAAGCGATTAACAAGATTTTACTGTGAAGGCCTATGACTATCTGTACAGGAATTTAGTTGGAGTCTGGCACCCAGAATAATAATCTCGCCAAAAAAGCAAAAAAGATAATAAATTGGTCATTTTCAATTTACAACTTCTTGTGGGACACTGTTGTGCGCAATTGGCTGCCGCGTTTCGCAGTGAATACAGTCGATTCACTTCACAGCATATTCTGTGAAGCGCTTTGAGACATCTAGAAGGCGTGAAAAGCGCTCTATCAAATGCAAGGATTAATTAATTCAGTTTGTCTCTGTGCTAAAGCTATGATAAATGAGCTAAGACAATTGCCTGTTCACACACTCCAGTGATGTGCCTTCTCAATATCTGCCCTGGCCATTAAGATGGTTCAGTGATCAGCAAATGAACTTTTATTACTATTATTAAGCAAGTTTTTTTTGCTACAGTTTAGAAATTGCAACTAATTTTATTTGCAGAATAACCAAATCAATAAAGCACAGTAGTATTTATTTATTACTTAATCCACCACTGTTTGTGTGTCACTCCTGGGTACAATTGGCTGCCGCCTTTTGCTCAAAAAAAAGTAAATCCACTTTAAGGATCAAATGCAAGGATTATTACTATTAGGGCTGCATGGCACTGGGAGTAAAATAGAGTTAATTAATTAATCCTTGCATTTGATATAGCGCTTTTCATGTTGGGAGGACGTCCCAAAGCGCTTCACAGAACACACTGTAAAGTGAATTGACTGTATATTTGTGGGCGAACGCGGCCGCCAATTGCGCACAGCAATGTCCCACAAACAGTGGTAGATTGAAAATGACCAATTTATTATTGTTTTTGGTTTTGGAGGGATTATTATTAGGCGTTTGGAGTAAGGAAACTTGCCCGAGGTTTCGCCCTCTGCCGGGAATTGAACTCAGGTCTCTCACTTGCAAAGCGAGTGCTCTAACCACTGAGCTACAGCACTCCACAAGTTGCACACGTGAGTCAGCCTCGCAGGCTTACTGGGCCTGCCTTTGACTCACACACTCAGTCCTTGGCTACTCGCGTTACCAGCATGTTTGTAACTAGGTGTTTTTGCAGTAATGTAGTGTGTTCGATGTGTGAGAGTCAACAGAAAGAGAGAGAGTTTCTAAGAAAGTTGGTCGGAGTGAGAAGGGTTGGCCCAGCAAAGTCTCTCATGAGACACGGAGAAACGTCTAAATTAACCAGTTTTAATACATCAATGTAAACAGTATTATGCTGGAATATGAAATACTGAATTGTTAATTGACAATATGCAAAGTTGCACCATTGGTGCAGACTCGATGGGCCAAATTGCCACCTTGATATGCCAGTTCCATTTTGATGAAGGCTTATTGGGTTACAGTATTAATTACCAAAATCAGAGAAGGCTGATGATAAACAATGCAGTTTCACTTCTTTTTTAAGACTGCTGTAAAAATGATGTGCTCTGTTGCTGACTTGCAGATATAGATGAGTTTGGACTCCTGCGTGTTTTATCTACATTGACTAGATCAGCACTAAGCAGTTGTATGCTTCACACTGAATAAGGAGATGAAAGATTTCAAGATATTTTCCTCCCATAGTTTTGCCCGGGTACATCGCAGCAATTTGCAATTTTACTTACAAAGAGATTAGTTTGTTTTTTAAAAAAAGGCCCTTCGGCTCATCTGGTTTCAAAGCTCCAGAACACCATTCTACTGTCCTCCCATCACAGCATCAAGCTGCCTTTTAAATCCCAGTGTCCTAGCCTCAACCACCCCTTCATCGCAACAAGAGTAGGCCTTTCAGCCCCTCGAGCCTGTTCTGCCATTCTATTAGATCATAGCTGATCTGTACCTCAACTCCAATTTTGCCCCATATCCCTTGATACCCTGACCTCACAAACATCTATCCACCTCAGTCTTGAAAATTTTAATGGATCCAGCATCCAACAACATTTGTGTAGCGCCTTTCACGTAGGAAGGGAGCCTTATGGGGGAGAGAGTTCTAGATTTCGCAACCCTGTTCCAGTTGTTAATCACCCACTGAGTAAACCTTTTCCTGGTGTCTTGCATGCCCTTTGCAACTGTAAACCTGTCCCCTCTTGTTCTATTCTTTAGTGGTTCCAAAAGTATTGTTCTGAGTTTACGTTGGTGTTCCTGTGCAGAATGACTGACCTGACAGAATGCTGCTGTGTTGCAGTGTAATGATTTTCTACATCAGTCAGCATGTTTTCATTATGATGATTATTAACTAGTGTAGGCCCCAGCAGATGATAAACCACCTACTTGCATGAGCGGGCAGACTCACCCACTCAGAGCATTCCCCTTATCTTGCTGGCATTCTCCCATCAGGTGAACGTCACCCGTTCCTCGGCAGTGACATAATTGCTTTTGTTTCTTCCTTTTAAGGAAACAAAAAACCTGGACTTTGCTTCCTGTCGAAGTGCAATGAGCCAGATTAAACATTGACTTCACTTCCTCTGCTCACACCCCTCCTCCCTTTTCTGTGGTTTCAAAAAAAATGCAGCGTCCGTTTTAACAAAAGCTTCTGACTGAGCTCCTGGGGCATGTTTAAATGTTTTATCTTGCGCTGTTTGCTTGGAGGCTGAGAGTGGAGGCTTTCATGTCCTTGCTGTATTATACAATTGGTTAAATATTTATGAGCCAGGAGTTTACACCTGGATTTTTCACTCCAACACTCCCAACACCCATCTCCTTTCCAGTCTGAACCTGCCCCACCTTGATTGGTATTGCTGTGGATTCAGCCTGAGGTACTTAATAATAATAATCCTTGCATTTGATATAGTGCCTTATCGTGTCGTTGAGACATCTCAAAGCGCTTCAAGGATATATTCTGAAGCGGAGTGACTATACATTTTTGGGTGTGGTGGGGGGGTAAGATGAGGGTTATCTGCATAGACCTGCTCAATGTCATTCAAATATTTGAAATTATTTTCACAATCTGTACGTCTATAGCAGCACAATAGCTCCTCTTGTGCTGGAAGCTGTTTATGAATAGATAATATAATAATATTTGCATTTGATGTATGTCGTCGTGAGGTCTTAAAGCTCTTCACAAGTTTTTACTTTGAAGCATAGTGACTGTGCTGTAGGAGAGTGCAGGGGGAAATTTGCACACAGCAATGTGGCACAAACAGCCATGATGTGAATGACCAACTTGATTTGGGGGATCGTTGGTCCGGCCACCCAGAGAGAGAAACTCCCTTGTCTTTTCCAATAATTCCATGCCCACCTGAACAGGCACAGACTTGGAGCTTGATTTAACATCTCATCCAAAGGACAGCATCTCCAATAATGCCGCCCCTCCAGTTAGATTACACTTGCCCTTGTGATAATTCTCCAGAACCCTGGAAAACCGGTGTTTCACGAAAACCATTTTAAAAATGAGAGATGGGGTGATTTTCGTTTGAACATAAAGCACCGCTCGCATTCAATTATTGGTTGGTGAGGAAAGCTTGTCCTAGCTTGTAGGTGTGACTTAAAAGTGGTAGCATACTTCGGGAAGCTTTGTGACTGGGATGTCTAAACCTTATTAGCAGTAATTGTACCTCAGGTTTATTACTCTTTCTATAACTGATTATAGTTCGCATTCGTTTACCGAATGGCTGAAATGGGGGAATCAGAATTTTCTTCTCAGGCTCATTAGCTGCCAGGATTGCCTACAACTAACCAGTCCCTACACTTCACATTACATCCTGTGAAGCGCTCTGAGGCATTTTGACGGTGTTATTGTTAAGCAAAACTATCAAAACTATCAAATGCAAAAATTGTTGTTGTGTTCCGGGCAGTTTAATGTTCAGAGATGGAAAAGGCTGTGACAGTAACTGCAGCTTGTGTTTATGCAGCTCCCCCTCACACGGGGTAGCGACTCGGGGCGCTTAACAGTGGTGGAGCCTGGTGCCTAGCTGGGGGGGGCGGGGGGAGATGACCGTAAGCACAGTCAACGAGGAAGGTCTTCAGTCGTGATCTGAAAGACCACTCAGGTCCTGGAATCCGTAGATTATAGCTCCCTCCGGAGGCAGAGAAGGTGGACTGCAATTTGTAACACAGCTTAATATATAGCTGAAGCTCGCTGGGCTTTTCAACTTGTTGCGCACTCTGCTGTTGGGAAGGTGTTGGTGGAATGACTGACTTAGAGTACACAGTCTATAATTTAAAACTTATTAATTTTAGATCCTGTCTGCTTTGAAATTCAGATAATAATCCTTACAATTGATACAGCGCCTTTCATATCAGGAGGACTTATTATCTTTATCTTTTGATTATCTCATAGGATACGATTTACTATAAAGTGCAGCGACTGCTTCTTTTGTAGACCAAACATGGCAGCCAATTTGCACATAGTGACGTCCCACAAACAGCTATGGTGAATGAGCGATTTTTATTTGGGATCTTTGCCTCTGTGACATGGGTCACAGGTAGAATTAAACTTCAAAACCTAAATGCTTCAGTACATATCATAGGTTAGAGAAGCTCACTTCCTCTTTCTTTTAAACAAGGAACTTGTATGAACTTCAGCTATAGGACACAAACCTCAAGCTACAGAAGCCATGAGCCACCACACTGAGCTACTCGGAGCAAGGATCAGGCTCTGACTCAGGCATAGCTCAGCCAGGAAAATGGTTATAATTATAATAATAATACTTGTATTTGATATAGAGCTGTTCACGTTTTCTAGACATATCAAAGTGCATCACCGAATATACTGTAAAGTGAATTGACTGTGTATTGTGGGTGAAACATTATATCAAATGAAAGGATTATTATATTATTATTCCCCCCCCACACACACTTTTCCTTGCAATGCTCCCTGTTCTATCTCCATTGTGATAAACAGCCTCTTGGTTGGGGAGAGGAAAATCTGGAGAGAGTGAATACCGAGTGTCCAGTTAACGGTGTTTATTGACGGTTACGTTCTGTTTTGTTTCAGATCGCGAGGACCAGTCAATCCTGTGCACGTGAGTAGTTGCGGATCCTTCACTTACCCCAGAACGCTTTTGGTGCTCATGAAAGTATTTAGTTAATATTTAAGAATGTATCTCAGCCCCTTAACCTCCCTCCCTCCCTCCCTCAACCACTTGTCCACCTGTCTAAGTCCTGCCTCTTACTCAATGTCCAGCCTTGTCTATGTAAAGCTCTCAATCACGTTTGTCCTATCTGAAGGGCGCTGTATTAGTACAAGTTGTCGCCTCATCATCCAGCCAATGCTGCACGGTAAACATGTGGCCAGATCTATTTCTTTGCATTGGATTTCTGAAAGAAATAGTAACTATTGTTTCACTGATAACTTGATGGTTGCTTCACTTCTGTTAAGCCTTGGAATATTTTAATACAGCAGCAGGGTAAGAGTTATAGTGATGTTTGCAGCTGAAAGGATTTTGCAGCAAGGTAACTAGCCAACTGGCCTATGTCATGTGCAAGTGTTCAGTCTAAACATATTGCTTTGCAGAGGAGAGTCTGGTGCTGGTAAGACAGAAAACACCAAGAAAGTGATTCAATATTTAGCTCACGTCGCCTCCTCACACAAGTCTAGAAAGGAACAGGTAAGTGTCATTGTAGTACTGTTGAAAATAATAGTCGATTTTACTACTTGCAACCAAGCGTTTTAATGTCAGCAATATTCAATTCAAAGAGTACAACCCTAAACCTAGCCATTAGATGCTGAATATTATCATTGATGTGTCTGGAGCTGGTAGATGCACCTCTCCTGTATTAAATGTTTTGCTCTTAAAACTAGTTTTGAATATAGTAGCTTAACACTACGTACAGGTTGTTATATCCCTTTAACGGAATAAATGCTTGTGGAAGTAGATTTTATTTTTGCATGCCATTGATAACACTTCTCCCCCTTCACCTTCACATTTGCAGCATTCTTCGGTGTTAGCATACGTGAGTGGGTCATTATAATTTGATTTGCATATTCTGCACTTTTTATGCCTGGTATACAGATCTGTCAGCTGTCTGTGGGTGGAGGCCTATTTAATTGGCACATGACTCTTAAGCAGAGATTTCTAGAGCACGTGCTTAGCACAAAGTGCAGTTGGCTGTTGAAAGTTGGCTAACATTTCCTCCTAAAGCAGCGAGTGAAATGGCAAGGCACATCTTCACTGTAAATTCTAAGTAAGAGTTGTGTAAATGTTCACACCTGTGTCTGCAGTATTAAACCATTGCAGTCTTTATTGGACATCAAGTTGTGCTAAAAGTGCAAGTGGCACAATTGGCTTGGAAGCCACTGCAGTACAGTAATTGGAAGAGCTCTGCGTATCTTGCCCGCCAGTTTTCTAGTCTCACTGTTTGGGCAGGCTGGAGGTGCAGCACAGATCTGTATATTCTATGTGTTGCATGCTTTTGGGTGTTAAAGGTGTTTTAAATGTTGGTAAACGTGGAGGCGATTTCCTCCCAGAGGAAAGAAAGGAAGGAAATCATAACCTTGTTGGCGCATCCCACCTGACAAACTTTTCCAGGGTCATTCAGACTGGCAGCTCGAATGAAACGCTTTTATTAATGTCAGTAATACCATGCCTGAAGTTTTCAACCACAACAAAACTCGTGATGGCCTCTCTTTGGTGGTGTTGTCTCCCACAGAGACTGGAGGGAGGGAGAGGGAACAGGATTTACAAACCTAGGCGCAGAAGGGGACGTTTCTTTAGTATCTGTACATTGCTGCTATTTTTAAAACAAAGAGAACAAAATTGTGTTCACTACTTGTGGGTTATCCTGTTCTAGTTAGGATTCTCATCCTACGCTTTAAATCCCTCCACACACTTGCCCCAACCGTACTTCTGCAACCTCCTCAAACCCAGTCGTTCCCTTTGCTCACTGGCCTGCTTCATGTCCCTCGCCCAACCTGCCCCACCATTGGCAGTTGGATTTTCAATATATCTGACCCTAGCCTCTGGATCTCCACCTTAGAGCCTTTTGAATCATCCCTTCCCTCAACTCCTTCACAATCTTAATAATATTCTGATTGCACATAAAATACAGTCAGTCCACTTTATAATATATTCTGTGAAGCGCTTTGAGACGTCTCAACGATATGATAAGGCGTTACATCAAATACAATTGTTATCCCTCCCCCAGCTCGGGTGCAAACCTTAGCACATCTTCCTGATGTGAAAGGCGCTATATAAATGTAAACTTGTATCGTTTGATTCAGATTTAGATGCAAATCTTCTTTTAAAGACAGCACCTACTGTAAATGTTTCCCAATGAGTAGTTGCTAGAGTTACCCCTGTTTGAAGGAAACTGAAGTCAGCAACGAGGAGGTGAAGGGGGGGATGTAGATAGTTTTGGTGAAGGAAGTTGACAAGCTAGATGGTGGGGATCTGAAACACGGGGATGTGATTTTAAATAACAACCAGGAAGTGAGATGGTTTCTTCACTCAGACTGTGACTGTGTGTATCAAGCTACCGGTCCATCTCCAACCTCCCCTTTCTCTCCAAGGTCTTGGAAAGAGTTGTCGCCTCCCAACTGCGCTCTTTCCTTTCCACCCATTCTCTTTTTGAACCCCTTCAGTCAGGTTTCCGTGCTGCCCATAGCACAGAAACTGCCCTGGTCAAGGTCACCAATGATATCCTGACCATCTGTGACCAGGGCTCCCTCTGTCTCCTCGTCCTCCTCGACCTATCGGCAGCATTCGATACGGTCGACCACGCTATCCTACTCCACCGCTTGTCCTCCCACCTCAACCTTCAAGGCACTGTCCTTGAATGGTTTAGGTCGTACCTTTCTCACCGTCTTCACTTTGTCTCAACGAATGGCTTCTCCTCCACCCCCCGCACTGTCTCATGTGGTGTCCCTCAGGGCTCTGTCCTCGGTCCCCTCCTCTTCACCCTCTATATGCTCCCCCTCGGTGACATCATCCGCAGACATGGAGTTAACTTCCACATGTATGCGGATGACACCCAACTCTACCTTTCCTCCTCTACTCTCAACTCCACGACCACCGATGTCCTGACAGCCTGCCTGTCCGACATCGAGTCCTGGACGAGAGACAACTTTCTTCAGCTCAACGTGCGAAAAACCGAGGCCCTCCTGATTGGCTCACGTCAGCGCCTCCGCACCTCAGGCGCTGACACCATCAGCATCCAAGGCTGCACTCTCCACCTCTCAAAGCCAGTCAGGAACCTCGGCGTTTTGTTCGACCCTGAGCTGTCCTTTCTCCCTCACATCCGCACCACAACTGGCACCGCCTTCCATCACCTCCGGAACATCGCCAGACTACGGCACTACCTCACCCCTCACGCTGCTGAAACCCTGGTCCACGCCTTTGTCACCTCAAGGCTGGACTATGGGAACTCTCTCCTCGCCGGCCTTCCCGCCACCTCCCTCCACAAGCTGCAGGTCATTCAGAACTCTGCAGCTCGTGTACTGTCCCGCACCAGGCTTCGGGACCACATCACTCCCACCCTCGCTCGCCTCCACTGGCTCCCCATCCCCCAGAGGATTGATTTCAAGATCCTCATCCTCACCTACAAGGCCTCGCTCCCTCCTACCTCTCCAACCTACTATCCCCCTACCTACCTGCCCGTACCCTCCGTTCCTCTGGCTCCGGTCTGCTCCACGTCCCCCGCCCCAACCGCCCTACCATCGGTGGTCGGGCCTTCAGCCTCTCAGCCCCAGGCTCTGGAACTCCATCCCCCAGTGCCTTCGCCTTGCTTCCTCCCTTTCCTCCTTCAAGGCCGGTCTCAAAACCTTTCTCTTTGACCGTGCCTTCAGCTCCCCTCTCGACTCTCTTCCCCTCCTCGCTCCCTCCCTTCCCTTCCCTCACCCTGACCATTTCCCCCCTCCTCTCTCCCTCCCTTCCCTCACCTCACCCTGACCATTTCCCCCCTCCTCGCTCCCTCCCTTCCCTCCCCTCACCCTGACCATTTCCCCCCTCCTCGTCCCTCCCTTCCCTCCCCTCACCCTGACCATTTCCCCCCTGCTCGGGTGATGACCCAACTGTACAGCGCCTTGGGACGTCCTCCTGACGTGAAAGGCGCTTTATAAATGGAATCTTGTTGTTGTTGACATGCACTTGTTCCAGGAGGCTGTACAGGCACGACCATTGGGATTGGAGATGGATACTTGGGAAGTTAGATACGGGATAGGTAGGATATTTAAGAGTGTGGAGATCTGCTGGGATCTAATGAACTGGTGGAATAGGCTCAATCACCTTAAAAGCCTCTTGTCCGTTAAGTTCTTGAAAGTCCTCTGGTTATCAAGTGACTCATTTAGTTTCAAGTCTCTGGGATTATCTGTTGCTAGGAGGGCCTTTTCTATATCATCTCCACCTCGCCCATCAGCAGCCAAGGGCCAGGAATGTTGCCCTTTGTGGTTTGTAACTGTAAGATGTGTCTTAACCTGAGATGTTATGCCTTAAAACACAAAAACCCACAGCACTAAAAGAAGCCATTCGCTGTATCAAGTCCGCTCCGGCTCAGAGTAAGGAGGTCAATTCCACTTCACCGCCTTGCCCTATCCCCAATCCCATTCAAGCCCCTCTTTCATATGCCTGTCTACTTCCCTCTTGAAAGTTGAAATGGACTCGCCCTCCACCCACCTTACTCAGCAGGGCATCCCACATCCCAGCTTTCTGATTTGGAATGTGTTAACCTTGGTGTTGAGAAGGGGAAGAGCAAATGGGATCATAGGATCAGGAAGTTGGTGTGAATCTGTCAAATGATAGATTTAGTAACAAATAACTTCTGGTGGAAACAGCTACAGCTTCCATTCAGGTTGACTGACGTAACGTCTTTCTCGTACTTAACCATGTCTTGTACATGGATGGCTTCCAGTTAGTAATACCTTGAGCCGTGCCCTCCTGCATTCAGTAATTTAAATTCATTTAGCTGGCTTACACAGCCTTCAACTTAATGGTCCGGATCTGGGCACTCAGCAATGGATCTGCGGTGTGGTGATTTCTGATGGGATTCTTGAATATAGTAACCAGATAAATAGCACAGCACATTGTAGACAGTGCACTGAGAATCTCTATGCGGATTAGTCTGCCTAACTGGTTATCCCAGTCAGAATCCTAATCCAGGAATCCCATTCCAAATCACATCCATCATATTTCTGATGAGGCAAAGACTCAGTGCGCAATACAACCAAATAAATGTTTTTTTTTATATACTGTACTTCTTGACTCGATGTCTATTTCAGAAGAGAAAACTGAAGCCAAGGCTCTTAGGGCAAGACTGTACAGCTCTTCTAGACTGAACACCGTTTCCCATGTGTCTGCTTCCCACCTGCTAACTCTGCACTAACGCTATACAAAGCTACTGACTTATTCTAACCAGGTTATAACAAATTGGTGAAACTGATCAGTCCAGTGGTTAAATGTGTGTTCTATGATTCTGAAGTTCAAATGCCACATCAAGTCTGTCTGGATCAGTGCCTCCCAGAGTCTTTCCCTTTGGTGCCTTGTACAAAATAGCATACGACTCTGAGATCCAGGTGTCCATTTTCAGTAACCCCGGAGGGAGCCCGTGAAGTTGTGGGGAAAAAAAGTCCAGTTTTCCAAGATTCACCTATTCCGTGTCCGTTTGGTTTCCCGGTTTGCCCTTTGCAACTCTCCTCTCACCAAGCTACCCAGCAAGCTTTATTATGTTCCACTTACATCCGTATTTCCCACTCAGAACCCACACAGGACCTCAAACCACAGTAAATTCCATGGTGCGTATTCAGTGATTCCTTCAGAGCGTGGAGAGGACAACCAGTTCAGATTAACAAAACTTTGTGTAGAGTCAAACCTTTCAACTTGTTTCATAAACCCCAGGGGCTGAACCTCGTTCTTTTCAAGCAGGAACTGGTTTTGCTTGAGATGAGAGTGAATATCTCTACCTAAAAAAGAGCTGCTGTCTTTATCTGTGGTAAGAGTGCTGTGTTGGCAAGGTGCAGTGATCGTGGTGGTTGTTTTAGAAATTGTGTGTGGCACGTGTGCATGAACTGGAGAATGGTGGTGGTCAGATCAGTGAGAACAGCAGAGCTTCAAGTAACTGCATCAAGCTACGTAATAAGACATGGAATGAATGCCAGAGAGAGAGAGAGAGACAGATTGTTATCTCTGTTATCACCAGAAAGTACATTCTCCCAACACGTAGCTTAAGGTGAACGTTTTATAAACCCCAGGGAACAGTCCAATGTGACAACGGACCCAATTTTTAGCAGGGAACGAGTTTGCATGCACCTGCTTCCTCACTTGCATACTTGAATGTGGGAGGGATATTTTTCAACAATGACTCTCCACATTTCCTCACCTATATTAGTTATAAAGGAAGTTTTTCCATTACAAAACGTGAAACAATGTTTACTACAGTAGTGTCTCTAAAAGAGCTCTATTCAGTGCCGTTCCCTGGCCTCCTCCTACCCACAAATAGTATTATTTGTGTTCCAAAGAGCAACCAGCAGTTCCTTATTCTTTCAGCCATCATTCCAAGTCTTGGTAGTTCTGTGTGTTTATTTGGAGCTCTGATCACTCTGGTGTTGTGATTTGCTGATCTGAGTGGCTCTGTAATTTCAGGGAGAGCTTGAGAGGCAACTGCTCCAAGCCAACCCTATCCTGGAAGCCTTCGGCAATGCAAAAACTGTGAAAAACGACAACTCGTCCCGATTTGTGAGTAAAAATATTTTCGGTGTTTGAGCTATTAAGATTAATGACTTGGGATGACCCCCCGACATGAAGTGGTGCTATGCTAATGTGATTTGTTGTAGTTTATGACTCGGTGGGGGGGGGGGGAGGAGAGGGAGAAGAGGGAGAGGAGGTAAGTGGGTCTCAGAGATGAACTGGCTCAGAAGTGATGTGCTTATACATGGAATGTCCGAATCGAGCCAGCCAAAGACGAGAGTTATTATTGCTGCCTCTAGTCTTATCCTTGTTTATAGAGTAAACAAGCTGATATTGACCTTTACAAAACTTAACTTTTCTATTCCTCTGCTTTCTCATCCACAGGGTAAATTCATTCGAATCAACTTCGATGTGAACGGCTACATTGTTGGAGCCAATATTGAAACCTGTATCCTTTTTACACCGAGTCGCAGAATCTGCCTGATCTGCCCTCAGCAATGTCAATCGCAGAGTGAAGCACACAATGTACGTGTTAATGTGGCCGGAACAAAACTGGTTTTCACATAGATGCTCATGGAGGTCCAAAAGATGGCCATTCGGTCCATCGTGTCTGTGTTGGCTCTAATAAGAACAGTCCTTCCTTTTTGAAATCTGGATAATTCCCTTTTGAAAGCTAATTTGAATTTTGCCTCAACCACCACTTGCACCACTTCCATCCTTATTGTAGCAGTTCTGTGTGTGAAAAGAAATTTCTCCTAACTTCCTCGTTTGCTCGTCAGTTAACTATCTTGAATTGATGCCATCTAGTTCACTGACTAGTGGAGATAATTTCTCCTTTTAACTATCAAAAGCCCTTTTATCACCTTTCAAACTTCTTTGTTTACCACTCGGATGAAACCAGTTTTCTAATGATGTGTTGAAACGTCGTCCTGTCTGTGACTGTTTGCGTGCTAAAGACCCTGTGACACTGTTGAAAAAGAGAAGGGCGTTTCTCATTGTAGTCTGTCTGACAATCCCCCAAATAAAACTCGTCATTGACTTCATGGCTGTTTGCAGGACTTTGCTGTGCGCAAACTGGCTGCTTTGTTCACTCCGTTTTACAGTGGAGCCTTTTGAAACACTATGCGACATCCTCCTGACGTGAATGGTTTAGTATCAAATTATTTTGTGTCCACTTATGGGATATGTTTGTGCTGTAAGTACAGTCACTGCACTTCACAGCAATTACCCGTGACATGAGTTGAGACACTGCCATTCTCAGCGCTATATCAAATGAACGATCACAGAGGATTCCTTAACTGTCTGTTCCTAGATTTGTTGGAAAAATCTCGTGCCATACGACAAGCCAAAGATGAACGCACCTTCCACATTTTTTACTATCTGCTTTCTGGCGCTGGAGAGCACTTGAAGAGTAAGTGAGATTTGTAGAACTACAAACAGACTGTTTGCTTAAAGAAATTCTCTGCTGTGAGGTCCAACACCTTTGCAGTAGGGTGGATGTTCTGGAGGGATTAAATCAGATGTTTTTCATCTAATATTTGATTTAGCCGTGGAATCTGTTTTGCATTGTACAGATGTGAGCTTGGATAGACTCCACAATGCTTGTATTGTCAGTAATGCCGTAACCTCTTGTATTGCAGCTGAACTGCTGTTGGAAGGTTACAATAACTACCGATTTCTCTGCAATGGCAATGTTACCATTCCTGGGCAACAGGACAAGGATATGTTTCAGGAGACGATGGAAGCATTCAGGATCATGGGAATCCAGGATGATGAGCAACTTGGTACGTCTCACTGTAATGTCTGCATGTTCTTAGCAGGCTCTGGCCCTCTCCACATCCCCGAAGCTGCTCACCCCACCATCGGCACCAGACCTTCTGACCCCACCCATTGAAACGCCATCCCACAGTCTCAGCCTCGCTCCCTCACCTCCTTCAAGGCCTGTCTCAAGACCTTCCTGTTTGGCGCACATTGGTCACTCTCCCACCGCTACCCTCCCCGCCCTCCACCCCTCCTAATCCCAACCCCCAGCTCAGGTGCAAATCCCTGACTGTAAAAAAATTTTTTTTTAAATCTTAATCTTTTGTCAATGCAGCTGGCTCAGTTGGTAGCACAGTCACCTCTAAGTCTGAAGTTTGTGACTCAGAGGTGAGAGTGCTACCAACTACCACCATTTAAAATTGGCTGTTCACTCCGTGACCGTTTGTGGGTAAATTCTCTGTCACGCTCCGCCACGTATGCACTTTATAGAATATCCTGTGATGCGCTTTGAGATGTGTCAACGACGAGGTCAGGTGCTTCTGGAATGCAAGGACCAAATCTCTGTGTGTTGAATTACTGTCCCTTCTTTCACAGCCATGCTCAAGGTCGTCTCCTGTGTCCTCCAATTTGGCAACATTAGCTTCAAAAAGGAGCGCAACACAGACCAGGCCTCCATGCCTGATAACACAGGTAAGCAGAGTGACTGAGAATCAAGTAAGGCTGTGCCAAGTGCTGAGTTCTCTCTGCTTCAGCGCTGCACAAGTGCCCACAGTTGAGTTTTTTCCCCAAAAGACTGTTGTAACATGACATATCCTAAAATTATCTGACTCCTTCCTGTTGTGCTTATTCACAAAGGAATGTTTAAAGCTCTGCATTAGCCTGGTAAGATATGACTATTTCACTCATACTGCAAGTGTTTGAAGAGTGTCTTGCTCCGCCACTGTCAAACGCTCTGGGACACTGTTCTGCGCTGTATAGTTGTTGTGGTTGTTGACGTGCTTTGAGACCAGTCTGAACTTGTACCATTCTTCATGAAGAGTTTCCTCTTCAACTTTTTTTTTGGATGTGTGTGTTTTACCACGCCTCGCCCACAAAATGCACAGTGAATCCACTTTAAAATATATTCTGTGAAGCGCTTTAAGACGTCTCAATGATGTGATAAGGTGCTACATCAAATGCAAGGATTATTATTATTACTACTGTCTCCTTCACATTCTCCCTAGCTCAGCGTCAAACTTTGTTACGGTTGAGCGCTCAGGCCCTACCCCATGTGAAGGACGCGACATAAATGCAACTTGTTGTTCTGGGAAATGAAACTCAGTTTAAATTTTTGCTGGTGAAAGATGATGGCTAGCGGAACCAAACAAGTTAGTTCAGGAAGGAACTGTGGACAAGAGGAAATCTGTGCTTATATAAGCGAGCTGCGCAGTTTCACCCACAACATATACAGTCAATTCACTTTACAGTGTATACTATAAAGCTCTTTGAGACGTTTTGAAGACGTCATAAGGCGCTATATAAAATGCAAGGATTATTATTATTTAGTAACTGTTTACTATTGGTTCCCAGCCAACAATCCCCAAAATAAAATTGGTCATTCCCGTAACAACTGTTTGTGAGACGTCTCTGTGGGCAAATCAGTTGCTGTCTTTGCCTACAAAGAGTTGCTCCACTTTATCCACTTTATCCTGTAAAGCACTTTGAGACGTGAAAGGCACTGTGTAAACTGTAAGGATGATTTTCTTTTGCGGAAGCTTTGTAAATTGGACAGTAGATTGTTGCTTAGATCTGACTATAATTAAATATTTTGCCCTGTAGCTGCCCAGAAGGTCTGCCATCTGCTGGGGATAAATGTGACTGATTTCAGCAGAGCAATCCTCACTCCGCGAATCAAAGTCGGACGGGACTACGTTCAGAAAGCTCAAACCAAAGAACAGGTCAGTGTGGCATATGGTTAGCATGGTTAGTCAATGGAAGATACAGTTTAAGATATCTATAACATATCCCCCTGCCCTCCTGACCCAAAACCCTAGCTCGGGTCCAAAACCACTGATTGTCCAGCGCCCTGGGACATTTTACTAAGTGAGTGATACTATACAAGTGTAATTTTTTGTTCTTGTATCTTAATTCAGCCCCAAACCTTGGCTCTTGCCAACCTGTGCCTAATACTGTCCAGAATTAGGCAAGCAGGGAGACAGTGTACATTCCTATCCAACAATCTATCTCTGGGATTTCTATGTGTAGGCGTGGAATTTTCAGTTGGGTTTGGATTCTTTTAAGTAACGGTGATGGGTTTCTGCGTGTGTTGGACACCCAGCTGAATCAAAAAAAATCTGTAAGGGGTTCATGCTGAGTGCAACCAAAATTACAACACAGTTCACACTTGCACAGCACCTTTCATGTCAGAAGAACTTCTCAAAAGTGTTTGACACTGCTGGATGGGCTCATGAGCTGGGGTTGGGAAGGGAGGGACAAATTGACCGCGAGTGTGGTCAAAGAGGTGTTTTTTGAGACGGTCCTTGAATGAGAGGAGGGAATGAGTCAGAGGGACATGGAGTTCCAGAGTGGGGAGAAGGGTGGGGCAGGAGTATTCCCTTCAGTCGCCTTGGACTGCTGTTCCGTGTTTGCTAGAGAGGGACATTGTGTGGCAGCTGATCACGTAGTTTTCGAGAGGAGGGAAGGGGTGATATGGAGAGCCGATGGGAAACGAGAAAACAACAACAAGAAGATTACATTTGTATAGCGCCTTTCACGTCGGAAGGGCATCCCAAGGTGCTGGACGTTTCAGACCTGAGCTGGGGTTGGGGGTGGGGGGGTGGAGGGGAAGGGAGGTGGCTAATAGCATGGTCGAAGAGGAGGGTCTTGAAATGGGACTTGAAGGAGACTAGGGAGGGGGCGAGGCGGAGTGACTGGGGGATGGAATTCCAGAGATTGGGGGCAGAGTGGCTGAAGGCTCTCCCGCCAATGGTGGGGCGGGTGGGTCGTGGGACTTGGAGAAGCCAGAGCCGGCTGAGTGGAGGGAACGGGCGGGTTGGTAGGAGGTTAGGAGGTCGCAGAGGAAGGGTGGGGCGAGGCCATGGAGGGCTTTATAGGTGAGGACCAGGATCTTGAACTGGATCCCCTGAAGGATAGGGAGCCAATGGAGTCAGGCGAGAGTGGGGAGATGGGGCACAGAGTTTGGTGCGGAAGAGGACACGGGCTGCAGAGTTGTGGATTATCTGCAGTCTGTGGAGGGAGAAGCTAAGGCATCACTCTACTTCTGCCTTGCCTGGTTCCCACTTCTCTTTCCCTGGTCCTTTTTACATCTCCTTTCACTTCATCACTTATTTCTGCTTTCTCTCTTCCACTCGGTCACTGAAAGGCTTTGGCCCTGCCTGGTGTGAGGCTGTACTGCAATGTACTACATTGGAGACTCCCACATATTACAGTACGGTTTATTCTTTATCCTGGAAGAGCCTTGTAAGTTCCCTTAAACAGTAATCAAATGACAAATCAAAATAGCTGTGTGAGTCCATAGTAACAGACACCTGATATCTACACTTTATCCTCACTTTTTTTAATCCACAATGGTCGGTCCCAGTTGTAGGTGGCAGGCTTTACTGTGTGTATATAATGAGATAGAATCTACGCTTATCACATCTTTCACATTGTGTGTGCGGTGGGGGGAGAAACGTCTCAAAGTTCTTGACAATTTGGCTGGGAGCCGAGGGAGGGTGTGGGCAGGGGAAACATGACCTCTTGACATGAAAAGTGTTAGTGGAGCAGCTAGCGCTAGCAATGGCTAAATGGCTTCCACTTGCTCTGCAATGCCTACGAATGACTCTTTTCTAATTTTTTAGAGAAGCCTAACTTGCAAGTGACCGGATCTATTTATTCCCTTTCAGGCTGACTTTGCCGTTGAGGCTTTGGCCAAAGCCACTTACGAGCGTCTCTTCCGCTGGCTGGTTTTTCGCATCAACAAAGCTCTGGACAGAACCAAGCGTCAGGGCGCCTCCTTCGTGGGTATTCTGGATATCGCCGGCTTTGAGATCTTTGAGGTACTTTGTTTGGAATTGTATATGCTTCTTCCCATGGGTAGATTGTGCCGCCATGTTTGCCTACAAATACAGTCACTGCAGTTCACAGTAATTCCTGTGAAATGCTTTGGGGTGTCCTTCCGACGTGATAAGGCGCTTTATCAAATGCAAGGGATATTATTATTGATATAGTACAGGTCCTGACATCCAAGGAACTGCAACAGACGCTCTGACCATAGCTAAATACACTATACTCGTTAACCTGTGTGTAACCTTCCTCTCATTGCTCCCTCTTTACTAACTTCTCCTCCTGTCTGTTTGTAGCTGAACTCCTTCGAGCAGCTGTGCATCAACTACACCAATGAGAAGCTGCAGCAGCTGTTCAACCACACCATGTTCATCCTGGAGCAGGAGGAGTACCAGCGTGAGGGCATCGAGTGGAACTTCATTGACTTTGGCCTTGACTTGCAACCTTGCATTGACCTCATCGAAAAGCCGGTAAAGACCTCTTGCTCACAGTCCACACTGTCCACGTGGGGGTGGGGAGGGATGTCTCCTTGGGGCTTAAATTGGCAACAAGCTCGCAACAAAAGGTGGAAATCGAGCCCACCCTCTATTGCGTTCTCCGGGTTCCTGAGCCAGGAGGGGCCGCAGTATCCCAGGACACTCACTGCTGATGACAGCACAGCCCAGCCTGGCTCATCGGCAGAATCTGTAAAAGGCCGACCAGTCACTGGAGGTAGGGAATCCTCCCCCTCAGCTCCTGTTAACCCTGCAGCCAAAGCCCTAACGGATAGGGTGGGCTTAGATGGACATACAGTGGGAAAGCTGGCCAGACAGCGCTCTCAATGGCCAAGCTATGTGGTTTTAGCTATTTAAACCCCAACAGGATGAGCAAGAGAAGACTTGATGTCTGTTAGATGCTCTGTAAGAAAGCAGGTTTTGAGTTCGATTCCTGGGCAGGATGAAACCATAGGCAAGTTTCCTTACTCCACACACATGCCTGTTTACCAGCAGTTAGTAGGAACCCGCTTGTTAGTCTATTGGCAGATTGCTTTACCGGGGGTAATAATCCCTTCAAAAAATGTTTAAGTTATTTGGTCACTCAATCCATGACTGTTTATGGCACGCTGCTGCGCGTAATTAATTGGCTGCTGCGTTTCCTCCACAAGGTATACAGTGAATTCACTTTGCAGCGTATTCTGTGAAGCTCTTTGAGATGCCTCAATGAGGTGATAAGGTACTGTATCAAATGTAAGTTATTATTTTCTCTCTCAGGCCAGTCCTCCTGGTATCCTGGCTCTGCTGGACGAGGAGTGCTGGTTTCCTAAAGCCACTGACAAGAGCTTTGTTGAAAAAGTGCTGCAAGAGCTGGGAAACCACCCCAAGTTCCAGAAACCCAAGCAGCTCAAGGACAAAGCGGACCTGTCCATCTTTCACTACGCTGGCAAGGTAAACTGGGCTGTCATTGACTCACTAACAGTGCTTTGTAATGCAAGTTAGTGATGAGTTCACCAGCGCTGGGCTATAACCCCAGGAGAGGAAATAATTTGAGGAAGTGTTTCAGTGTTGAGTTCCATATTACAAGGACTTTTCAGCACCAAAACATACCTCTTTGACCGTACGTTTGGTCTCTTTCCCCTCCTCATCCCACTCTGCTCCGTTGCCAGATTAAGTCGTTGCCCAGCCAGATTAAGGATTTTTGGGACGTCCTAAGTATATAAGAATAAATTATGTTGTATATTCTCCCATCGCGTCTCACACTACTGCCTCTAGTTTTAATTTACCTGTTTTGTTAATTCCACTTTCCAGCACTACCATGTCCCTTCAGATCTTACTATTCAGGTGCTTATCCAGGTCCCTTTTCAGTGATTATATTGATTTTATTGGCACTCGGAATGAATTCAACAACCTAACAACTCTCTCCCATGATTCTGCTAACAATTCTGAGTCTACGCACCCTTGTCACCAATTCCACTCCTAAGCTTAACTCTTAACTACCCCGTTGTGCCCTTCAGCATATTGATCACTGATCATACGTCCTTTCAATCTCCTCCACTCTGGGCTGGATGGATGGGGGTGGTGGAACAGGATCTTCCTCAATCCCTTTGTCACACCCCCTTCTTATTTATCTATAAATACCACTTTAAGACCTACTTCTTCAACCGTGTCTATGGTCACCATCTCCTCCTCCATCACTCGGTGTCCGATGCTGTCACTGTGCAGCGCTCAGACACAATCCTGTGTGGCGGGCTTTAGATAACTGCTGATTGTTGCTGCTGTAACACATCTCCCTCTGCAATCCAGGTGGACTACAAAGCTTCCGCATGGCTTATGAAGAACATGGACCCCCTGAATGATAACATTGCCACCTTACTGCACCAGTCCACTGATAAGTTTGTGGCTGAACTCTGGAGGGACGGTATGTTACCTTTGTCTTGGTTTAGCTGCATTTTGTATTCTCATTGCAAGGAGTTTAGTCAAATAAAATTGGTTAACGTGATTCTTTTCAAGAAACATAGAGCACTTCAGTTTAGAGCTGGATCCAACCTCCCTTTTAAGAACTTTATTATTTGCCCATTTATGTTTTGGATGCCAGAAATGTGTATTTTTGAACAAACTTTTTATGGTAGAGGAGATAAAGAATCAGGCTGGAAAATAAAATCTAAAGTCCTAAGGTGACTTGGCCAGTGCCTCCCCTCTTTCTTCCTTTATAATACCTGTGGTGTAGTGGTTAGAGCACTCGCCTTGCAAGCGAGAGGACTCGTGTTCGATTCCCGGACAGAGCGAAACGTTGAGCAAGTTCCTTACTCCACAAACATGCCTCTGTTTACCTAGCAGTAAAGGAACTCACTTGTTAGTCGATTGGTGGATCGCTTTCTGGAGGTAATACCCCACCTCTCCCCCAAAATGGTGACAAAATCCACGACTGTTTGTCGGACACTGTTGTGCACAATTGGCTGTCGTGTTTCGCCCACAAATACAAAGTCAATTTGAACGTCACAGTGTATCCTGTGAAGAGCTTTCGGAAGTCTCAATGAGGTGATAAGGCGCTGTATCAAATGCAAGGATTATTATGTTTCGGATCCCGGATTGAGATGTGCTTTCAATTTTTTTAAAAAAGGTATTCCATCCAATAACCTATTCATCTTCCCCTGTTCAAATGAGCATTGATCCAATATAGCTGACTAAATTCCTTGCAGGGTTTCATTGTTTGCACTGTGCTTATTATTACCTCTATGATGTTCCCTTTGGCTTCTCTCATCCTCCTGATCCCAACCTGGGCACCAATTCTCAGTCAAGTAGATACGCTGTGACTTGCTCCCAGGCCTCCACCTGCCTGTATTTACTCCTCTTCCTTTCCCCTGTGGACATACCCAGCCTCTGCTCAGTGCTGGTGTCCTCTCCACTGATTGCGAAGCAGTTTAATGCAGTAAAACTTACACAAGTCGTATCATTTAGTATGGCTGACGCAAAATCCTGAGTTGCAGGAAAACCGTAGGAGTCGTAGAAAATCAGAATTAATCAATAATCAACCGTGCACAGATGTAATTTAATGCACCCGTTAAATAATGCATGTGGTGACAGGTCAAGACTACGTTTCCCAAGCTTCAATGCGTCCTGACCCATCACTGCACATGCGCTTACTGGAAAACGTTGGGATCACATTGAATAGCTGAATATTAGGTTCTTCTGCTCATGGGTCAACGGGTCAGGACGTCATTTCCCGTGATTCAAGGCCTCTGGTAAGTGCGGGAATAATGGGAGTGAGGGAGTGGTTTTACAACTTAGAAGTTGAGTAGCGCAAAGAAATCAAGTAGTTTTGATAGGAAACTGAATGGGACTCGGTGACTACACAACTTAAGTGTCTACGATTTATAAAGCTAAGACTTGTGCGAGTTTTACTCTATATAAATACCCAAAGCCATTCTGCTGTCCATTCTCGTTGCTATGAAAACTTACACACTGGTCTTTCTTTCTTTTTTGTCTTGTTGATGTCTCTCTGTGTGTGTTGCAGAGATAAAAAGCTTTCAGCGAGCCTATTTCTATATACGCTTTCCTATTCTACATCTAGAACCAGGTGATGTGAGCCAGGAGGTTGTGATAGTGTCGTAGATTGAAGCCTCCGAGACTTGAATGCTCATCTTTCCTCTCCATTCCTGCTTCTGTGGTTTCTTTCCAATCCTCCCTTGGCTTCCAGTTAACGCAGGGCAGCCATTTCACCACTGCCTCATTCTCAAGCCGCCCTGGTACCAGATGACCCACTAGTAAGCAAAATGCACTTGTGTGGAAAATGTTGAAACTAACTTGCGACCTTAACCGTTTTCTATTCAGAGAATTTTCTCTGTTGTTCAGTACTTAGACTAGACTGAAATTTCATAAACGTAACCACAGCTTTCAGTAGAGGCTTTGACTGCACTTTATTAGGGTGTGTAATGAGGTATTCACTAAATAATCCTTATTTGGTGTTACACATAAAATATAGTCAATTCACTTTGCAGTATATTCTCTGAAGCACTTTGAGGCGTCTCAACGACATGTATCAAATGCAAGGATTATTATAGTTAATCCTTACATTTGATATCGTGCTATTCATGTCAGGAAGACGGCTCAAAGTTCCCTACAACAACAACAACAACAACGACAAGATTCCATTTATTGAGCGCCTTTCACGTCGGGAGGACGTCCCAAGGCTCTGTACAGTTGGGTCAGGACCCGAGCAAGGGGGAAATGGTCAGGGTGAGGGGAGGGAAGGGAGGGAGTGAGGAGGGGGGGAATGGTCAGGGGGAGGGGAGGGAGGGAGCGAGGAGGGGGGAAATGGTCAGGGTGAGGGGAGGGAAGGGAGGGAGCGAGGAGGGGTAGAGAGTCGAGAGGGGAGCTGAAGGCACGGTTAAAGAGAAAGGTCTTGAGACCGGCCTTGAAGGAGGAAAGGGAGGAAGCGGCGGAGGCACTGGGGAATAGAGTTCCAGAGCCTCGGGGCTGAGAGGCTGAAGGCCCGGCCACCGATGGTAGGGCGGTTGGGGCGGGGGATGTGGAGCAGACCGGAGCCAGAGGAACGGAGGGTACGGGCAGGTAGGTAGGTCGGAGAGGTAGGAGGGAGCGAGGCCGTGAATGGCCTTGTAGGTGAGGGTGAGGATCTTGAATTCGATCCTCTGGGGGATGGGGAGCCAGTGGAGGCGAGCGAGGGCGAGGGTGGGAGTGAGGGTGGGAGCGAGGGTGAGGTTGAGGGCGAGGGTGGGAGTGATGTGGCCGCGGTGTCTGGTGCGGGACAGTACACGAGCTGCAGAGTTCTGAATGACCTGCAGTGTGGAGGAAGGGCTGGGAAGGCCGGCGAGGAGAGAGTTCCCATAGTCCGGCCTTGAGGTGATAAAGGCGTGGACCAGGGTTTCAGCCGCGTGAGGGGTGAGGTAGTGCCGTAGTCTGGCGACATTCCGGAGGTGATGGAAGGCGGTGCCAGTTGTGGTGCGGATATGAGGGAGAAAGGACAGCTCAGGGTCGAACAGAACCCCGAGGTTCCTGATGGCTTTGAGAGGTGGAGAGTGCGGCCTTGGATGCTGATGCTGTCAGCGCCTGCGTTGCGGAGGCGCTGACGTGAGCCAATCAGGAGGGCCTCAGTTTTGCGCACGTTGAGCTGGAGAAAGTTGTCTCTCGTCCAGGACTCGATGTCGGACAAGACTGTTCTAGTGCAAGGAATTTGCACCAATGCTGTCTGCATGTGCGAGCAGCCTGAGTTAGAACCGTAGAAATTTACAGCACAGCAGAAGGCCGTTTGGCCCTTGGTGTCTGTGCAGGATCCCTCAAGAGCAATCCTATCAGTCCCACTTCCCTGCCCTGTCCACACACCCAGTGCAGTGCTGGGACACTTTCACTCTGAAATAAACTAGAGCTGGCCACCCGTCTCTCACTGCCAACAATTGCATCCCTTCATTTTGCTACGAAAGATTTGATGTGAGATTCTTAAGCGGCATGCAGGCGTTTCCTTATTTGTTGCATTCAGGATTGCCGCATGGCATACTTTTTGCGAGCATGTTCTGCTTTTGATGCTCACACAACTAATACTCTCCGGCCTGGACAGGCACTGTGGGACAGAGCTCATACAGCAAACATTGAAGTTCACAGATCTAGCCATGTCCTGGGAGGGAATCTAGTTTCTCACAAATTCCCTGCGTAGTTGTACTACGTTGAATGTGTTTAAGGTTAGGAATTGCAGAAGGATGGTTGAGCCCAACTCTTCTCACATCTCTCTCACCCTATAGGTACATCTGTTAGGAATTTCACTGGAACAATCTTGTTCCCCATGAGACATGGAGGGTTGTAAAGATTGGATGCACTGTGCCGTCTATAATGTGAATACCCCATTATAGGCTGCACAGTCAACAATTACTTGCATTTATATAGGACTTTTGAGAGTAGCATCTCAAAATGCTTACCAATGGCAGAGATGGACAGAGGCCTCATCAATTGGGATATAGATGAACACTTGGAAGTATGGGAATTAAATGATGGAGAAAAGGCAGGAAAATGGAATGAAAAGATCTGTGATCGGATAAACTGGTGGAGTAGGTTCATCAATAGCTCTCTTCCCTTTGATGGGTAATATGCTGAGCAGGACAGGATTTGCAAGCAAACCTCGAATCAGATTTATTTATCTAACAAATCAAATGCTAGCAAGTCTCTAAAATTAATGTGAACAGCAGAACCACATTGTTTTATATTTGGAGTGAGAGGTGTTTGAGGATAGTGAGGGCAATTTCAGTTTCCACAGATGAGTGCTCTAACTCGCTTTGAGTTAATAATAATCCTGGCATTTGGAACAGTGCCTTTCACACTGGGAGGACATCCCAAAGTATTTTGCTGGATTTGCTGTAAAGTGGAGTGACTGTGTGTTGGAGCAGATTACGTTGACGGTTTGGTGTCGAGCGGCAGGGAGGGGGTTCGAAGAGATAAGATTTGAGGCAAGACAAAGACAGAAAGGGACTGAGTGAGGGAAGGAGGGAGTCTCAGAGGTTAGGGTGATGATGGGGAGGGAGTGCAACAAGCCTGACTTAGCTGACCAGAGGAAGAGGGCAGGTGGTATTGTGTGTGGTATTGTACTGCACAGGCATGGGATCAAACGAGTTGAGCACAGAAGTATTAATACAATTTGGAGACCGTGGGGCTATCACAATGTAGCTTTAGCTGAACTAAGCTTTAGCTAAACCCCAAACTAAAGGTTCTCTCAATTGAAGAACTTGGATTCTTAACCCTCGACTCTCTGGAAGCGCTCTGGTTGGTCGAGTCCATCACGGAAAGTGGTACAGAACTCTGGGATTGGGTTCCTCCTGTTCCAACAAAAGACCATTGCGTTTTCCACACAGGCTGCATTGAGTGTGTCTACATCCCAAAAGGCACTCGTGAACTGATGACAAGTATTTCAGCTGTCATGTTTATGTACCCTGGCCCGCCCCCCCAGCCCCCTCCATAAAGTGCATCAGAATGTCAGCCTTACCACCAAACAGTAAACCACATCAGGACCTGGTGTTTAGTCCGAGCTGCACTACACCTTGCAGAGTGATTCTGCATGGGACAGAGCTTGGTGTGTGTCAAAGCTCACAGAGTGGCTACTTGCTGAGGTTTATATTGATGAAGGCCATGCAAAAGTTCGGTGTGGGTGGGGGAGCTTGTTAGGGGTTCAGTTTGGATGCCTGATTTAGCTTTAAACTGAGATTTTCTGCCCATTTCAGACTCACATTTTGTTGATGAGTTGCCTGTTTAGCAATTCATCCAAAACTTAATGGGTAGGGGGTGGGGGTGCGGGGGTAAACTTGCCAGGCACCGGAAGTCCATCTCCCCTCACATTCGGAGACCACCTATCTCTTCTAACCGTTTTCGCTCTCAGATCAGCAGCAATGATGAGCCTTGAAATGCGAAGTGTTGACGTAAAGAGCACTTACACCCAGATTCTCTACCTGTTGTAGTGCATGAATCAGGATATGGTTTAGTGAATTGTCTGCCCCTCCTGGTTATGTTCATTCCAGCCTCATCCTTACTGCTTAGAAATTATAGCTGAGGCTGTAGTGCCTTTGTGTATCCTACATTGGTGTGAATAGAAAAGTGGACTTCCTTCATTCAGCAAAGTATTTGTATTGAAGGAGAAATGTCCTTTAATTCAGTAAAACACACACTGAAGGCCCAAAAGACTTTTGCTTGTCTTGATTCCAAAACCCCAAGAATGTCCAGAGGTGGACAATATGCCCTTCTCCGTCAGTTACATGACATCTCACTTGCCAGATGCCATTAGCTGCCTATCCCAGTTCCCCACTAACTTTGCTATCTGCCTTGTATTGAACTTAATCTCCCAACGAATGGTCATTTCTCCCGCATCTGTGTTCCTTGCCACCTTTCCCATCGATTGCATATCCACCTCGTGGTTTGACTCAATCATTGCTTATTCATTTACCTTCAGCTTGCCTGCATTTCCTCAGCCCTTTGAATTCACTCAGTACCTTTTGGATGCCATCATTCTTCCCTTACTTATTCCATGGTCTCCCAATATCCATTAAATCCCCACCAGAAAATCCACAACCAGTCTCTGTTCCCTCACCTAGAACCTCTGTTGCCTCAGTCCACTCTCTTCCTATCGCCTAGCTAGCGAGCTGTTCATCATTAATTCCACAAAACCTTGAGAAACATTAAACTCAAATGTTTCAGTAACTTCCTTCTGTATTTCAGTTGCTTCATGTGCACCTGCTCTCTGCCCAAGAGAGAACTCTGCCCTTATTAAATAGTTTGCACCATCATTCTGTGAACCCTTTTTAGATATTCAGTCTGTTTTTATTTGCTGAGTCAAAGCTTGTGTCTTTTGTATGAGTTTCATTAAAGGAAATGGTAATTTGAGTTTAAAGGTCTGTCCCATGAAGGATTCAAATCTTCCTTGCTCTTTCTTTAAATTGTGTATGTCTTCCCATGACCCTTCAGCCCATTTCCTCGCCCACACAGTTCTTGAAGGAAATCCCAGTGGCTTTGAAACACTACCTGTGTAGGATACTCAAATCGTGTTGCACATTTTCAGGCTCTTATTGCTGCTTGCTGCCACTTCTCATGTCTGTTCTCCTCCTCTTCCACACCATGTCTCCTGCCCGCAGTCTGGTGGAGCTTTTAACCCTTCAGTAACCAGCTTGCATCAACTGTTTCCCCAGTGGACCACATTGTCGGCCTGGACCAGGTGACAGAGATGGCCCAGAGAGCTATCCCTGGAGCGTTCAAGACCAGGAAAGGCATGTTCCGCACTGTGGGGCAGCTGTACAAGGAGCAGCTGTCCAAACTAATGACTACACTGAGGAACACCAATCCCAACTTTGTGCGCTGCATTATCCCAAACCACGAGAAGAAGGTGAGAGCAACCGGACTCCAGCATTGCCACATATTGTAATCAGCCATCCATCAGTTACTGTGGATTCAGTCCCACATCCCACACCTACAGTATCTGCTGACACTCTAGTGCTGATGGTTGGAGGTGCCGATCTTCGGATGAGATATTAAACCAGGATCTGTCTGTCCAGGGGAATGTTAAAGATCCCGCGGAATTGTTCAAAAAGAGAAGGGAGTTTCTCTCTCCCAGTCTCTTGGCTAAAAATCTGTCAAATAAAATTGGTCACTCACTTTGTGGCTGTTTGCAGATTGAACGATTTCTGAGATTGATCCTGTGGATGAGTGGTTTGGCCTATGAGTAAACCCTGGAGGAAAAAGTGTCACCACTGGTGGAACCTTTTTTTCCAATGGAACAAATTGTAGAATTCCCTGTCAGGACTTTGGTTGAGACAGAATCCATATTAGATTTTGATAAATTCATAAGGAATGTGGGGATTTGGGGAAAGGCAGGTAAATGGGGCTGAAATGATCGCTGTTTTAAGAGAGCCAGCACAGACATCAGGCCGAATGGCCATGTTCTGTGGTTCTGAATGTTTTCGGTGTCATTTCCTGATGTATGTGATTTGCCTTTGCAGTCTGGAAAGCTGGAAGCTCACCTTGTTCTAGACCAGCTGCGATGTAATGGTGTCCTTGAGGGAATCCGTATCTGCAGACAGGGATTTCCCAACAGGATCGTCTTTCAGGAATTCCGTCAAAGGTAACGCCCTCTTTTAACGGCTCTATTTCTATGAACTCGCATATATATGAGCTGAATTACGAAAAAGTGAATGTGCTTCAGCTTTTGTCACCAACTTGGGGAACAATAACAATAATAATAATAATAATCCTTGCATTTGATACAGCGCTTTTCACGTCGGGAGGACGTCCCAAAGCGCTTCACAGAATATACTGTAAAGTGAATTGACTGTATATTTGTGGGCGAACGCGGCAGCCAATTGCGCACAGCAATGTCCCACAAACAGTCGTGGATTGAAAATGACCAATTTATTACTGTTTTTGATTTTGGAGGATTATTATTAGGCTCTGTGTGGGGTAAGGAAACTTGCCCAAGGTTTCGCCCTCTGCCGGGAATTGAACTCCGGTCTCTCCCTTGCAAAGCGAGTGCTCTAACCACTGAGCTACAGGACTCCACGTTCCATTTAACCCGTTCAAACCACAAATGACTTCACCTTCATGGTAGCAGTGAGCTGTCTGACTGTGATGTACTATTAATGCCCCCCCCCCCCCCCCCGTGCCTTAAAAGCCCTCGTCAACCTTGTTGGCCGCACTTTCGGTCCCCACCCTCTACAGCTCCAGGCTGCCCAGCCAGAAGTGCGATGCACTTTGAGACGTCCTCCTGATGTGAACGGCACTGTATAAATGTGAATAGTATAGTAATCTGTAAACCCATTCTTTTACAGATATGAAATCCTTACTCCCAATGCAATTCCAAAAGGCTTTATGGATGGGAAGCAAGCTTGTGTGCTTATGGTATGTACTTGGAGACGCTTTGAAAGGTGTTGACATTCCAGGTACTGTATCGTATCAAATGCAAGCGATGTTGTTCAACGTATTTACATCCCTCACCCTCTCTGTTGCGTAGATCAGAGCCCTGGAGTTGGATCCGAACCTGTACCGCATCGGACAGAGTAAAGTCTTCTTTCGCGCCGGAGTCCTCGCTCATCTTGAGGAGGAGAGAGACTTGAAGATCACAGACGTCATCATTCAGTTTCAAGCCTTGTGCAGAGGCTATCTGGCCAGAAAGTAAGACAGCTATTAAAACTCTTTCTTCACACTTGTACAATGGTTTCATTCTTGTAGACCCTTCTCCAATGTCTCTACTGCATGCACTTCTCTCCCTGTTCTGGGGTCTTTGATGGCACAAGATTGCGCCCGTGAAACACTTTGAGACAAAAGGGTTATTATCAGAATATATTTCAGTTGTGGAATATAACCTGTTCTCAGCCACTCCAGTTGTTGAGAACCATTATTAATAGCTCTACTGAATCAACCTTGGGGACTGACTGACTGTACAAGGAATGCAGAGGGCTAAACCCTGAGTGGTCCCTGTTTGCCCATGGGCGCTGAGCTGTGATGTGCCTCTTGTTACAGGGCATTTGCCAAGCGACAGCAGCAACTGACTGCCATGAAGGTGATCCAGAGGAACTGTGCTGCCTACCTCAAACTGCGCAATTGGCAATGGTGGAGACTGTTCACTAAGGCAAGTCTGGTATCCAACCCTCCCTCCCTCACTCACTCAGGCATGTTTAATATCTAACTCATTCACTTGTTTGTTGAGGCACACTCATTGAAACTGATTGAGAGTTTGGTGGAGGTATTTAGATATGGAAGGCACATAGCAGGGTAGCAAGAGCCAAGGTATTTTGTTTACTTGGGGACTAGGTGGCAAGTTGGGGAGGACAAGCTTGCAGGGCTGTGGGAAGAGAGAGGGGTAGTGGGATTGAATTGGCTAGATCTTCAAAGAGCTGGCACAGACACAATAGGCCGAATGGCCTCCTTCTGTGCTGTATGACTCTTCCAAGTGGTCAGGACTTCATTTCACAGAGGGCTAGAAGGGTTTGTAATTTAATACAAGTGTCTGAGGACTGATCAACAGAATCGTTCAAAGGGGAACGTGATAGGCAGCTGAGCAGAAAATGTATTGAAGGATGTGTGTGGGAGAGAGATGAACAGTGGGATAACATACAGAGAAGACACGCTGGGTCGGGAGGTCTGCCTCTGTCCTGAAACCTTTGCTAACTATCCTGTAACTCACGCAGGTGAAACCACTGCTGCAAGTGAGCCGACAAGAGGAGGAAATGATGGCCAAAGAGGACGAGCTGACCAAAACCAAGGAGAGGCAAATGCAGACGGAGCAGAAACTGGTGGAGATGGAGGACAAGCAGTCTCAGGTGTGTGACTCGCCTCCATGCCACTAGGCTACTGATATACCGTGAAGAGGCTAACCTGGAACGCTACCTGCTGGTGTCTCTCAAACTCAGCCACTGTTAAGCACTCCACTGCTATCCTGTATGAATATCGGGCACTATGTAAATACAAATTGTTTGTATTCCCCACCCCCCTGCCGCCGCCATTGGCGGTTTGGCCTTCAGCCTCTCTGCCCGTACTCTTTGGAACTCCATCTCACAGTCCCTTGGCTTCATCCCCTTCCTTGCCTCCTTCAAGGCTCATCTCACGATCCTCCTCTTCGACCGTGCCTTCGATCACCCTCCCTGCCCTCCACCCCTCCTGATCCCAACCCCCAACTGGGATCCAAATACCTGACTGTCTGGAGCTTTGGGAAGTTCTCCCGACAAATAGTTGTTACAGTCAATCAACTTCACAGCATATCCTGTGAAGCAAAAAAAGGCCATATGGCCCTTATGGATTCTGTTCCAATTGTTCCAGGGCATTCCTGATAACATAACATGTAGGAGCAGGAGTAGGCCATTCGGCCCTTCGAGCCTGCCCCGCCATTCAATCATGGCTGATCTTCTAATCTAACTCCAGCTAATAGCCTGACCCCGCCATATCCCCATATCCCTTAATCCCTTTTGCACTAAGATATCTATCTATCTCAGTCTTGAATATGTTCAAGGACTGAGCTTCAACAGTGAGTTCCATATATTCACCACCCTTTGAGGAAGTTCTTCCTCAACTCAGTGTGAAAGGACTGATCTTAACTATTCTGTGTGAATTTCTCTTAACCTCCCCATTTGCTTGTTTGTTATCTGTCTGAAACTGATATCCTCTGGTTACTGACTTGTGCTGTTGATGATGTATTATACATTATATTATATTATCCATGCCCACTGCATCCATGTCTGCAGTCTCTCTTCCCAACCATGTCTGCAGTCTGTCTATGATTACAGTGGTGAGACATCACCTTGTTGACGAGTATCAACAAGATAATAATAATCCCTCCAAAAAAACCAAAAAACAATAATAAAAAAAAAATTGGGTCATTTTCAATCTACGACTGTTTGTGGGACATTGCTGTGCGCAATTGGCTGCCGCGTTCGCCCACAAATATACAGTCAATTCACTTTACAGTGTGTTCTGTGAAGCGCTTTGGGACGTCCTCCCGAGGTGAAAAGCGCTATATCAAATGCAAGGATTATTATTATTATTATTATTATTTATGTCTGCAGTCTGTCTATGATTACAGTGGTGAGACATCACCTTGTTGACGAGTATCAACAAGATAATAATAATCCCTCCAAAAAAACCAAAAAACAATAATAAAAAAAAAATTGGGTCATTTTCAATCTACGACTGTTTGTGGGACATTGCTGTGCGCAATTGGCTGCCGCGTTCGCCCACAAATATACAGTCAATTCACTTTACAGTGTGTTCTGTGAAGCGCTTTGGGACGTCCTCCCGACGTGAAAAGCGCTATATCAAATGCAAGGATTATTATTATTATTATTATTATTATTATTATGTGTGGTCAGCCAACTGCAGTACTGGATTGCCTCCAAATCCCATTCTCAATCTCCTGCTGGTTGAGGTGAGGAGGGCTGTTTCTTACATGTACAGTCGGACTTCACTATAACAAACCCTGCTCGTAACAAGCCCCCCGGTTTTAATGATACCAATGGTCAGGTACCTCTTTGACGGCCAAACCCTAGTGTAGTGAATACCCATCTTAAACAAGTCTTTTCTGCTGATCCCGATAGGGTTGTTATCATGAGCTTCGACTGTACTGTACATAGCAAAAGAACTGTTTAACCACAAACCTTTTACTGCCTGTAGGAGAGACCTGATTTCTGACTGAACCAAATCCCTGCCAAACCCAATGGCAGAATCTACTTAGATCTGTGAGGAACCCGAGGTGATGCCGCTGCTAATCCACTGTACTGGAGGTGGAAATATTCAGTGAGACGGTGTAAATGGCACAAACGACTCCCACAAATACGCTCCGTTCCACTTTGTGTGCACCTGACCTCACTGTTCCTGACACTTTACTCTCCCTTGTCCAACTTGGGAGAGAGGAGAAGAAAGATCACTGCTTTGCTGTCAGCACCAAACACCCATTGCACCAACGTGCCTGTGCTTTAAGCTCCTCGCCCTCAGCTTTTATTTAGGCTCCGAATTCCGACTGAGATTTAAGCTGGTTCAGTGCATGTTCATCCAGGCTGTCAGCTACATAGTGTCTGAGCATCACGTTCACAAGTGAACCGAGTTAACTTCTAGAGTAATGTTGGCGCAGTGTGGCATTGGGCTTGGTCGGACCTTGGACACCAAAGTCCATCGCCCTTTGTATCCTCTTCCACCGCATAAAAAGGCAGATGTCCGTCAACTAGTCGATGGGGAAGCTTTTGAGGCTTGGGATAGCAGATAACTGGAAGGTTGGAGGGGGGAAGCGGTGTGTGTAGCTGGGCTGTGATCAAGAGGGTAGTGGCAATGCTCTCACTATCTTATGCTGCGTGCTATTGAGGTCAATGTCCACTTCCCAGAATCTGTCGGTTACCATGTTAATCCTGGGCTGACTCTCACCCCCTCCCACCCGTCCGCCTCTCTTGCAGTTGATGGTGGAGAAATGTGCGCTGCAGGAGCAGCTGCAGGCGGAGACAGAGTTGTGCGCTGAGGCCGAGGAGATGCGCTCGCGCCTGGCAGCCAAGAAGCAGGAGCTGGAGGAGATCCTGCACGACCTGGAAGCCCGGGTGGAGGAGGAGGAGGAACGCTGCCAGCATCTACAGACAGACAAGAAGAAAATGCACCAAAACATTCAGGTAAATCCCCTCCCCCACCCCCTTCCTGATCACTGTCCTCTTTGGAGCAGTGACATTCCCAGCAACGGAATAATAATAATAATCCTTGCATTTGATATAGCGCTTTTCACGTCGGGAGGACGTCCCAAAGCGCTTCACAGAATACACTGTAAAGTGAATTGACTGTATATTTGTGGGCGCACAGCAATGTCCCACAAACAGTCATAGATTGAAAGTGACCAATTTATTATTGTTTTTGGTTTTTGGAGGGATTATTATTAGGCTCTGTATGGGGTAAGGAAACTTGCCCAAGGTTTCGCCCTGACCTGCCGGGAATTGAACTCAGGTGCACTTGCAAAGCGAGTGCTCTAACCACTGAGCTACAGGACTCCAGAATGTCAGAATCGAGCCCACCCTCTGTGACGGTCTCCAATCTGGTTCCTGAGCCAGGCTCCTACAGCTGCCTCTGGGCCTCACTGCTTGTTGAAGCTGAAAATGAATTGGTTAGAATGACTGGGAGGATTTCCCCCACGTGGTCAAAGATTTACTTAGACTTTACAGCAGTCGTCGCCAATAATGTCGAGCTCTCTCAGGCGTCGTCCTGATGTGAGAGGCGCTAACTCTAAATAGCGTTGTATCTCTGAAGCTGAAGGCTTGTTGTTATCTCAGGAACTGGAGGAGCAGCTGGAGGAAGAGGAGGCAGCTCGGCAGAAACTACAGCTGGAAAAGGTGACAGCTGAGGCCAAGCTGAAGAAGACAGAAGACGATATCTTGGTCATGGAAGACCATAACACCAAGCTATCCAAGGTACCGACCCGCACCTTATCTCTCTGCTGCATACAGGTACACTCGAGGAACATCTCGTAACCCCAGCTGCTAATCCCTGCGCAGCAAGATTTCACCATTAACAGTTCAACAGCCTACGTTTACCTGATGCCCTTCATGTCAGCAGAAAATAGAGTATTACAGCACAGAAGGAGGCCATTTGGCCCATGATGCCTGTGCTGGCTCTTTGGAAGAGCTACCCAATCAGTCCCACCCCCCTGCTCTTTCCCCATATCCCTGCAAATTTTTTTTTCAAGTACCTATCCAATTCTTATTTGAGAGTTGTTATTGAGTCTGTTTTTACCGCACTTTCAGGCTGTGCATTCCAGACCGCAACAACTCTCTGTCAAAAAAAGTCTCCTCATTTGCCCTCTTTTGCCGATTATCTTAAATCTGTGTGCCAGCCAGTGGTCATCTCGAAGCTGACTGGGAGTCCGAGCTGGGGCTGGCGGCAGCTTAGAGTGGTGGTGGGGAGGGGGTGGGGGAAAGTTGCCCATGAAGAGGCGGGCAATAGGGTTGAAGACAGGTTTGCAGGGTTATGGGGAGAAAGCTGGTGATTGGGGTTAGTGAAAGTGACTTGCTCTGTCAAAGAGCCGGCACAGACTCGATGGGCCGAATGGCCTCCTTCTGTGCCGTAATATTCTATGAATCTATGAATCTATGAATAAGGTGGTGGAGTGAGGTGCCGGAGGGAATCAACTGTGAGGGAGAAGATTTTAAATTTGGGCTGGGTAGCCATACGAAGATGAGGGTGATAGGTTCGCAGTGAGAGAGGACATGAGAGGCAGAGTTCTTGGGATATCCTCTCAGCGTGAAAGGCGCGGAGTAAATGTCATTTGTTGATGTTTCTTCATCTCGGGGTGTGTGTGTGTGCATCCACAGGAAAAGAAGCTGATGGAAGACAGAATTGCTGAGTTCACAACCAACCTGGCAGAAGAGGAAGAGAAGTCCAAAAGCCTGGCCAAGCTCAAGGCCAAGCACGAAACCATGATTACAGACTTAGAAGGTACAGTGAATATGAGAACTGGCTTCCCGCATTGCACAGAGCCCTCAATAACCTCAGTCTAATGTAAACTTACTCTGAAAGACTGGGAGTCTGCCTCTCTCGTGCTTCCTACACTGGCTGTTCGGCTCCAAGGGTCTGAGCCGAGCCAGTGTAGCTGGGGTAATAATCCCAGACTGAGCTCACCCGACTGACACAGCTAATCCCTTCGCTCAGTCCCCACCATCAGAGAGTGGGATTTAACAGTTCAACCCTCATGCTCTGTAACCTGATCCCAGAAACCCTCCAACTTGCTACCTCGCTCCTTGTTCAAGCTCCATCCGAAGACCCACCTCTTTGGCCAAGCTTTCAGTCATCTTTCCTCTCCTCAGTTGTATCGTCGTCAGGGTTGACTTTATTGACTGTTCATAGCACATGATGGAAGTTGGTGTGGGCTGTATTGGGGTGTCTATCAACATCCTTTTCTTTGCATGTTCACCATTGGTGAACTCCAGCATCTCTGTAACCTGCTTCATCATGTGAAAGCGCGCTGGAAGCTGTTGCATAGTGATGTGGAGTGGCCAGCGTAGCTTTTTCTCCAGCCTGGGTTACTGGTGTCCAGGCCACAGGTAGCCAGCCTCTCATCTCTGTAAATCACACCCCAAGGTGGCTCAGCCCTCTCACCAGCCCATCTCCCGGTGTGTGTGGTGTTTACCCGGGCGTGTTTTCAGCATGTCAATATAAAAGTCTCGCGCTCTCTCTCGCTGCACAGACCGTCTGAGACGGGAGGAGAAGCAGCGACAAGAGCTGGAGAAGACTCGGCGCAAGCTGGAGGGTGACTCAACAGATCTGCACGATCAGATCACAGAGCTGCAGCAGCAGATTGCGGAGCTCAAAGTTCAGCTGGCAAAGAAAGAGGAGGAACTGCAGGCAGCCCTGGCCAGGTAATTATTCACCCCCAAGTCGCAGTGAGCTACAATGAGTATACTGACTGTAAATAAGTGAGGTGTATTGAGGGGGATGGAGAGTTCTTGTATGACTGTAAGCAGCACACCAGTGCATTTGGAGTCCTCTAAAGTATTGGTTAGAGCACTTGCCTCACAAACGAAAGGAATTGGGTTCGATTCCCGGGCAGGATGAAACCTTAGGCAAGTTTCCTTACGCCACACACCTCTGTTTACCTAGCAGTAATTAGGAGCCCAGTTATTAGTCGATTGGCGGATCGCTTTCTGTGGTATTAATGCCTCAAAACAAATTTAAGTTGGTCATTCAATGCACGGCTGTCTTTGGGACACGGCTGAGAGCAATTGGCTGTTGCATTTTGTCCCAAAAATACATAGTCAATCCACTTCACAGTATATTCTGTGAATCACTATGAGACATCTCAATGGCATGATAAAGGCGCTATATCAAAAGCAAGGATTATTATTTTTTGAACCTTTTTGTACATGAGAGATTTACTTTAGCTGTCTGGCCAAATCCGGCCCCAAACGGTGTCTGACTTGAGGCTTCACTGTTTCCTGGTGTGTTCCACAGAATAGACGAGGAATCCTCACATAAAAACAGTGCCCTGAAGAAGATCCGGGAGCTGGAGTCTCACATCAGCGAGCTCCAGGAGGACCTGGACTCAGAGAAAGCTTCTCGCAACAAGGCTGAGAAACAGAAACGAGATCTTGGGGAGGAGCTGGAAGCGTTGAAGACTGAGCTGGAGGATACCCTGGACTCCACAGCTGCTCAGCAAGAGCTCAGGTATGAACATACGAACTTGCTGACGAAACCAGAACAAGGTCCATCTAGTTCGCGTTCCATTCTCCTGGCAGTCGCTTGACATGTCGTGTCCCAAACTTTTTTCCTGTATCCTGAGATATTATTTCTTAGCAGAAATTGATCTAATTTGTTCTTGAAACAGATTACATTTTCTGCTTCAACGTCTCCCTAAGGGAGCCCGTTCCAAAGAATTACTTTGCTGGGATGATACAGGGTAGGATGGTGAGAGGGATAGAACGAATGAGATGGAGCATGGTCTAAAACTTTGAGAACGGGGTGAGAGGCTACAAGGACAGAACCTGTAGTTCAGTCGTTCGAGCACTCACCTGGAAAGCAAGAGGACCCAGGTTCGATTCCCGGGCAGGGTGAATCCTCAATTGGGTAATTGGACTTGAGTTTGGTCACTTAATCCACGACTGTTTGTGGGATACTCTTGTGTGCAATTGGCTGCTGTGTTTCACCCGGAAAAAGTACACAGTCAGTTCACTTTGCAGTGTATTCTGCGAAGTGCTTTCAGAGGTCTCAAAGATGTGATAATGCAAGAATTCTAATTAGTCAATCACTGTTTATGTCACCTCGCTGTGTGCAAATTACTTGACAAAATAGTCACGTCACTTGACAGGAATTAACTATGAAGTGCTTTGAAGGCCTTGTATTAAATGCCTCCTCCCTTGCCTCCTTCAAGACCTATCTCAAATCCCTCTTCTTTGACCGTGCCTTCGATCACCCTCTTTCCCCCCTCCTGCTCTCCATCCTCCCCGATCTCGACCCCCAGCGCCTTGGGATTCACAGTGAAGCATCCAGTCAGTTTTGAGTATAGAGACGTTTTGACAGAAGATTTCTTTGCTGTATAAATCGTGCATTGATTTTACTTTGTGATTTTTCTCTCCTTTTCCCACTTCCTCAAATTTCCCGTTGAAGAGCGAAACGCGAGCAGGAGGTGAGTCACATGAAGAAAGCTCTGGATGAGGAGGCCAAGACCCATGAGGTGCAGATCCAGGAAATGCGGCAGAAACACTCTCAGATGGTGGAGGAGCTTTCTGAGCAGTTGGAGCAGTCCAGGAGGGTAAGTGGAGCTATGTCCTGTCTGTGGTGGTGTTGACAGTTATAATGAACACACCGTGTTGGCTGGCCTCAATGCTAAGCACAATGCCTGACCATCACTCTTAATAACCCAGGTTTGATTCCCAGACTGGTCAGATCGGAGCGAAACCTTAGGCAAGTTACCTTACTCCACGCACGCACACCCGCCTCTATTTCCCTAGCAATAAGTAGGAACCTGGTCAGTCGATTGGCGGATCGCTTTCCTAAGGGTAACAATCCCTTCAAAACAATAATAATAATAATAATTTGGTCACTCAATCTACGACTGTTTGGCTGCTGCGTTTTGCCCACAAAATACACAGTCACAACACTTTATAGGATATTCTGTGAAGCGCTTTGAGTCGTCTCGATGACGTGATAAGAGGCTATATTAAATGCAAGGGTTATTATTATCACTATCCAGTCTGTGCTGGTGTCGCTCAGGTGCTTGCTGTTGGGACACTACTTGGAAGTTGAAAAACCTTCTTAGTCTTAGGACCGTTTATTTTAAAATGTAAAGAAAAGAGGCTTCAGAACTTTGGAAACTAAATTAAATTCAGTTTTGGAAACTGGTATTCCAGAGACCTAAAAAACTGCAAGGTTCTTTCTTCATATCCACACACCAGCCAATGAAGCAATCCATATCTGAGGTGCGGAAGCATTTCTTCCCACGGAGAGTTGTGCAGTATGGAAAGTTACGCTGTAGAGAGGCCAAGGTCAATTAACGAAAGGAGGATGACGACAGGGCAAGGCACTGGGGTTTCTGAGACAAATTCCACACGCGCATCACCCCAATCCTCGCCAAGCGCCACTGGCTTCCTGTGTCTGAAAGGATTGTTTTACACAATCCTCACCCTCACACACAAATCCCTTCACACCCCAGTACTGCCGTACATCTGTGAGCTGCTCCTAACCCACTCCTCTGCCGCCCCAGCCCCCCCCAGGGCTGTGCCTTCCACCACTATGCCCCTAACCTCAATCTCTGGGTCTCGCCCCCTCTACTAAGCTTTAAATCCCACCTGAAGAATTACCTCTTTAACTGTGCCTACGGTCACCTCCCCCTTCTCCCTTGTTCGGTGTCTAACCCCCCAGCAGTGCTCTGACACTATCTTGTGTGAAGGGCACTGTATAAACGGAAATTGTTGGGATTAAAACTGACTTGTCGTTTCCTCTCTAGATTAAAGCCAACCTGGAAAAGGCCAAACAGACGCTGGAGAGTGAACGGAACGAGCTGGCCGGAGAGGTGAAGAGTCTGATACAGAGCAAAGGGGAATCCGAGCACAAGCGCAAGAAGGTGGACTCTCAGTTTCAGGAGGTGCAGCTGAAATTCACTGAGGGAGAGCGCACCAGATCCGAGCTCGCCGAGAAGGTGGTCAAGCTTCAGGTAGGTTCCCAGTGGAGTGATCATGGCCTCACACGCTGAATCGGAAGCATGCAACAAGCAATCGCAGTGAATATCGTCTACCTATCATGGGAAACTGTATTATTCCACTCCCTCCCCCCCAGAAGTGGTAATTGTCAGCCTGGCTCAGTCAGTAGCTCTCTAGCCCCTGAGTCAGAAGGTATCACATGCTCTACATCACAAATTTGAACTCAGTCCTGGCTTAATATCTTACAATCCAATGTGGTTCTGAGGGGAGCTCTGCATCGTTGGACGTGCCGACCTTCGAATGAGACATGAAGCCAAGGTCCAAGTGATGTAATGAGAAGAGAGTTTCTCCCTGTGCCCTGGCCAAAAACCCATCACCACCACCACCAGATAAAACTGGATATTCATAGTCATTCTGTGCTGTACAGGGCTACCTCAGGACTACTTTTGTCTTTAAAATGTGAAATTGCGTAGAATTGTGGAAAACTCTTTTAAGGTTGAGTCTGAACCCGGAAGCCCATTCTTTTTAAGAACTGCTTAAAAATGGCTTCCATCCTGGAGTCCCTTCCCTCACCTCCTTCATGGTGCACCTAAGACCTTCCTCTTTGACTGTGCTTTCAGCCATGTTCTCCCCACCTCAGCTGCAAATCCTGGACTGTCCAGCGACGTGGGACGTCATCCATCAGGAAAGCGCTGTAAAAATGTAAATTTCTATTGTTTTCCAAATTGAGAGATAATTTAGGAATTTTCCACAGGAATTTTGAGACTAATTGACCTTTCAAGCAAATCCCACATCATTTCAGCCATATCTTCTGTCTGAAGAGACATGTAGCATCCTGGGGACGTCCTTTTGACATTAAAAGCTCTATAAATAATTTGTTTATGGTTGTGATTTGAATCTGTCCATGGATCAGACTTGCCGTTGTGTCGCGCAGTCTGCTAACTTGCACTTCTCTTCTCTGTACAGGCTGAGTTGGACTCTGTGGGCGGGCTTCTGAACCACGCCGAGAGCAAGTCCATTAAAATAACCAAGGACCACTCCGTGCTGGAGTCCCAGCTGCAGGATACCCAGGTGTGTGTAAGGAGGGCGTGTTGGTGCGCATGAAACTTACTTGAATGAAGCTTATTCAACAGTGCATGAACCTTTCAACTGATGACATCGGCCTATAATCCCTCCACCTCATCCCTCTAAATCCTGCCTCGTCGACCTTGCCTCTGGTCCGTTCTCCTTTGCTTGGCATCTAACTGATGCACTCCGAGATGTCACCCTACACCAAGGATACATAAATCCGCAGCTCACATCTCTTGCTGATGTCCTTCTCCTTGTTCTTTTCCCACAGGAGCTGCTTCAGGAGGAAACTCGGCAGAAGCTGGCTTTGAGCACCAAGCTGAGGCACATGGAGGAGGAGATGAACACCCTGCGGGAGCAGTTGGAGGAGGAGGAGGAAACCAAGAGAAACCTGGGCAAGCAGGTCCAGGGCATGCAGACCCAGGTCAGCCAATCTTCTCCTGATACCTTCTGTCCCTCTTTCCCCTCACCCCCCCTCTTCAGCTCCTACCCCTGCCTCGGGTTCCTAGCCCCACTGTGAAAGAAACTCTTTTGAGACGTCCTCCCGACGTGAAAGGCACTTTATGAATGTAAATTGTCTTGTGTGTTGTGAAAGTTTCCTGCTGTTGACCGGTGCCCCATTCTGCAATAGCACATCACAGTATAGTGTCAAAGCCTGGCTCAGTTGGTAGCATTCTTCACCCTGAGACAGAAGTTGTGGGTTCAAGCCCCCAAGTCGGGAGTTGGAACTCAGAGTCTAGGCTGATGCTCCAATGCAGTGCTAGGGGCGGGGGGTGGATTGACAGAGTTGCCGTCCTTCAGTGAGACGTTAAACTGAGGCCCCATCTGCCTATGGTCACCAATTTCTCGGCTGGTTGTTGGACATTGGTGTAGCATATTGGCTGTCACGTTTGCCCACGTAATGCACGCAGCCATATCTCTTTATAGTATATCTCTGTGACTTGCTAATTCCATATAGATCTCTCCACTTGGCAGGCTCCGGCCTGCTCCACATCCCCCGCCCAGCCCGCTCCACCATTGGCGGGCCTTCAGCCTCTCCGCCTCCCCCCTTTGCAACTCCGTCCCACAGTCCCTTCGCCTGGCCCGTCCCTTTGCCTCCTTCAAGGCCCATCTCAAGACTCTCCTCTTTGACTGTGCCTCCGCTCACCCTCCTAACTCTACCTCTCTGACTCTGGACTGACCTCTGCAGCTGACCGACACCAAGAAGCGGATGGACGATGGGTTTGGCTCCCTGGAGCACTCAGAGGAGGTGAAGAAGAAACTGCAGAAAGACCTGGAGAGCTTGTGCCAGCGTCACGAGGAGAAGGTCGCGGCCTATGACAAGCTGGAGAAGACCAAGACCCGGCTCCAGCAGGAGCTGGACGACCTGATTGTCGACCTCGACCACCAAACCCAGATCGTCTCCAGCCTGGAGAAGAAGCAGAAGAAGTTTGACCAGGTGAGTGGTGTATTGTGCAGGGTCGAGAAGGGCAAGTTTGCGGGTTCAAACCCAATGTCTTGAAACTCTGTTTAGCCTGACACTAACACAGTGCTGGACGAGCGCTGATTTATTGGAGGTGACGTCCTTCGAACATAAGAATTTGCTGGCGATAGAAGACCATCCAGTTCACCTTCTACCAACCTAACTGGCAGTCGATTGACATGTGTGTCCCAAACTATATATTGTATCCCCAGGTGTTAATTCCTAACAGAAATCTCTCTCATTTGTTTGCTTCAGTGCTTCTGGTAGAGCCTTTCATGTTTAAATAACTGTCTTATTTGTTTTTTTCGTTAACCTCTGTCTCTACGGAGACCTTAATTGATTTTCTAGTGACCAACTGCTGGCAGTAGTTCCCACCTCTGTACCTCATTGTAACTGCTGATCACGTTGAATGCCTGTGTCAGGTCTCCTCTCAACACACACTGTTGTTTCAGATGCTGGCTGAGGAAAAGAGCATCTCAGCTAAATACGCAGAGGAGCGTGACCGGGCTGAGGCCGAGGCCCGAGAGAAGGAGACCAAGTCCTTGGCGCTGGCCCGGGCCCTGGAGGTAGCCATCGAGCAGAAGGAGGAGCTGGAGAGGCTGAACAAGCAGCTCCGCGCCGAGATGGAGGATCTCGTCAGTTCCAAGGACGATGTTGGAAAGAGTGTAAGTTAATGAGCAGCTGGAAACGTGCCGGGATTAGAATAGGTCCCCAAGACGCATGTTTGGGATAGGTTATGGGTAGATGGATACTATGATGGATACATAGGAACAGGAGTAGACCAATCAGCCGCTTGAGCCTGTTCTGCCATTTATAAGATCGGGGTTGATCTGTACCTTAACTCCAATTACCTGCAATTACCCCATATCCCTTAACACCCTGATCTAAAAAACATCTGTTCACCTCAGTCTTGAAAATTTGAATGGATCCAACATCCATTAGCAGATACTAGGACCCAATTGTTAGTTGATTGGCGGTTCGCTTTCCAGGTGTAATAATCCCTCCCCTCTCTCACCCCACGCCTCCCTCCCCCCACAAAATGTGGTCACTCAATCCACGACTGTTTGTGGGACGCTGCTGTGTGCAATTGGCTGCTAAGTTTTGCCCACAAAATACAGTCACCCCACTTCACAATATGTTCTGTGAAGCGCTTTGAGTTGTCTCAACGATGTGATGAGGCACTGTATCAAATGTGAGGATTATTATTGTATTCCTTTCTGCTCTTGTGGTTCTGGTGCCTGAGCAGCACAGGGCAGTGGCATCTCCTGACCAATCAATATGTGTTTGTTCCCCGTGTAGGTGCACGAGCTGGAGAAGTCTAAGCGAGCCCTGGACCAGCAGGTGGAGGAGATGAAGACCCAGCTGGAGGAACTGGAAGACGAGCTCCAGGCCACGGAGGACGCCAAACTGCGTCTAGAGGTTAACCTGCAGGCCATGAAGGCCCAGTTTGATCGGGACCTGCTCGGCAAGGACGAGCAGAGCGAGGAGAAGAGAAGGCAGCTAGTTAAACAGGTCTGTGCGCGTTCAAATCCCTCCACGGCCTCGCCCCACCCTTCACCAAGCCGCTCGACCCAGCCGCTCATTTAACCACAGCCAAACAACCACAGCCAAAACCACTGCCACAGCCACAACCACAGCCAAAACCACTGCCACAGCCACAACCACAGCCACTGCCACCGCAACCACAGCCACAGCCACCGCCACAACCACAACCACCACCGCCACAACCACCGCCACAGCCAAAACCACCGCCACAGCCACCGCCACATCCACAGCCACAACCACAGCCACAACCACAGCCACAGCCACAGCCACTGCCACAACCACAGCCACAGCCACTGCCACAACCACAGCCACCGCCACCGCCAAAACCACCGCCACAACCACAGCCAAAACCACCGCCACAGCCACACAATGCGTTCACTCAATCCATGACTGTGGGGATGTCGCTGGGCACGTTTCGGCGACAAAACCCACAGTCACTATACTTCACAGTGAAGCGCTTTGAGGCGTCTTGGCGACTTGATAAGGCACCGGGTCAAACCCCAGGATTATTATTATAAATTGAAAATACATTTAATCTGATTTACGCAAAATATGATTTACGTCAAACTTGTTACCCCACGTGAGGGAGGGGGCGTTACGCACATGAGGGAGGGGCGTTACCCCACGTGCTGCTGCTGTTGTTTACGGAGCAGATGGTGTGAGTTTTCTTGTGGTTATTGTTCTCTTGTCTCAGACCAATGTGACCCGGTGATGGTGCCTCTGCTGAGCTTTGGCTGTGGCCTGGCTGCTGGGGTGATGGCCTCTCTCGCCACCCAGCCCGCAGACGTCATCAAGACACACATGCAGCTGTCGCCACACACCTACCCCGGCATCGCACACACAGTCACCTTCATCTACAAGGTACATCCCTGCTCCACCATCAGCCGTCAGCCTCGGGAACTCCATCCCAGAGGCCCTCCGCCTCGCCCCCTCTCTCACATCTTTCCAGACCCTCCTCTTTCACCGCGGCTTTGGTTATCCTCCCATCACAACCCCCACTCAGATCCGGTTAACCCTGACCATCAATCGGGGTCTCCTTGGAGCTGAACATGTTTGGCAAATGGAGTGTCAGGGAACAAGCGTCCCCTCTGTGCTGGTCTCTCTCTCGAGCCCCCCTCTGTGCCAGTCTCTCTCTCTCTCTCTCTCTCTCTCTCTCTAGAGCCCCCTCTCTGTCCGGTCTCTCTCTCGAGCCCCCCCTCTGTGCGCCTCTCTCTCTCTCTCTCTCTCTCTCTCTCTCTCTCTCTCTCTCTCGAGCCCCCCTCTGTGCCGGTCTCTCTCTCTCTCTCTCGAGCCCCCCCACGCCCCCCCTCTGTGCCGGTTTCTAGCCCCCGGTTCTTGAGCCAGGAGGGGCTGCAGTGTCCCAGGGCACTCACTGCTGATGGCAGCACAGCCCGGCCCGGCTCATGGGCAGGACCTGGAAGGGCCGACCAGTCCCTGGGGACAGGGAATCCTCCCCCTCAGCTCCTGTTAACAACCAAAGCCCCAACTAACTAACGGGGAGGGGGGTCCGAGCTGGACACACAGCGGGAAAGCTGCCAGACAGTGATATCAATGGCCAACTATGTGTGGGTTTAGCCGGTTAGACTCCAGCAGTTACCCCAACACACACTCTGGGACCCCCCAAAGCCTTGGCTCTCGCCAACCTGCGCCTAATACTGTCCGGAATTAGGTAAACAGGGGCGTCCCTCCAGGGAGAGAGAGAGAGAGCGCATTCCAGTCCAGCAATCTATCTCTGGGGTTTCCAGGTGCAGGGGGGGGATGTGGGGAATTCTCAGTTGGGTTTGGAGACTCTTAAGCAACGGTGATGGGTTTCCGTGTGGGCCAGACACCCGGTTGGTCAAATAAGCCCCCCATCCACCCCTCTTGAATCCAACCTCCAGCTCTGGTACAAACCCTTCACTGTCCAGCGCCCTGGGATGGCCTCTCAATGTGAAAGGCGCTAAATGAAGGCAATTGTTTTTTGTTGTTGTGTCTGTTTGTGACCTCATTGTGTAGGGATGTCCTGACGTGAGAGCCACACAATGTACATTTAGTCTGGTATGTGTTAAGAGTCTGTGTAACCGCAACGCAAATGGCTGTTGCATTTTGTCCCAAAAATACATAGTCAATCCACTTCACAGTATATTCTGTGAATCACTATGAGACATCTCAATGGCATGATAAAGGCGCTATATCAAAAGCAAGGATTATTATTTTTTGAACCTTTTTGTACATGAGAGATTTACTTTAGCTGTCTGGCCAAATCCGGCCCCAAACGGTGTCTGACTTGAGGCTTCACTGTTTCCTGGTGTGTTCCACAGAATAGACGAGGAATCCTCACATAAAAACAGTGCCCTGAAGAAGATCCGGGAGCTGGAGTCTCACATCAGCGAGCTCCAGGAGGACCTGGACTCAGAGAAAGCTTCTCGCAACAAGGCTGAGAAACAGAAACGAGATCTTGGGGAGGAGCTGGAAGCGTTGAAGACTGAGCTGGAGGATACCCTGGACTCCACAGCTGCTCAGCAAGAGCTCAGGTATGAACATACGAACTTGCTGACGAAACCAGAACAAGGTCCATCTAGTTCGCGTTCCATTCTCCTGGCAGTCGCTTGACATGTCGTGTCCCAAACTTTTTTCCTGTATCCTGAGATATTATTTCTTAGCAGAAATTGATCTAATTTGTTCTTGAAACAGATTACATTTTCTGCTTCAACGTCTCCCTAAGGGAGCCCGTTCCAAAGAATTACTTTGCTGGGATGATACAGGGTAGGATGGTGAGAGGGATAGAACGAATGAGATGGAGCATGGTCTAAAACTTTGAGAACGGGGTGAGAGGCTACAAGGACAGAACCTGTAGTTCAGTCGTTCGAGCACTCACCTGGAAAGCAAGAGGATCCAGGTTCGATTCCCGGGCAGGGTGAATCCTCAATTGGGTAATTGGACTTGAGTTTGGTTACTTAATCCACGACTGTTTGTGGGATACTCTTGTGTGCAATTGGCTGCTGTGTTTCACCCGGAAAAAGTACACAGTCAGTTCACTTTGCAGTGTATTCTGCGAAGTGCTTTCAGAGGTCTCAAAGATGTGATAATGCAAGAATTCTAATTAGTCAATCACTGTTTATGTCACCTCGCTGTGTGCAAATTACTTGACAAAATAGTCACGTCACTTGACAGGAATTAACTATGAAGTGCTTTGAAGGCCTTGTATTAAATGCCTCCTCCCTTGCCTCCTTCAAGACCTATCTCAAATCCCTCTTCTTTGACCGTGCCTTCGATCACCCTCTTTCCCCCCTCCTGCTCTCCATCCTCCCCGATCTCGACCCCCAGCGCCTTGGGATTCACAGTGAAGCATCCAGTCGTTTTGAGTATAGAGACGTTTTGACAGAAGATTTCTTTGCTGTATAAATCGTGCATTGATTTTACTTTGTGATTTTTCTCTCCTTTTCCCACTTCCTCAAATTTCCCGTTGAAGAGCGAAACGCGAGCAGGAGGTGAGTCACATGAAGAAAGCTCTGGATGAGGAGGCCAAGACCCATGAGGTGCAGATCCAGGAAATGCGGCAGAAACACTCTCAGATGGTGGAGGAGCTTTCTGAGCAGTTGGAGCAGTCCAGGAGGGTAAGTGGAGCTATGTCCTGTCTGTGGTGGTGTTGACAGTTATAATGAACACACCGTGTTGGCTGGCCTCAATGCTAAGCACAATGCCTGACCATCACTCTTAATAACCCAGGTTTGATTCCCAGACTGGTCAGATCGGAGCGAAACCTTAGGCAAGTTACCTTACTCCACGCACGCACACCCGCCTCTATTTCCCTAGCAATAAGTAGGAACCTGGTTGTCAGTCGATTGGCGGATCGCTTTCCTAAGGGTAACAATCCCTTCAAAACAATAATAATAATAATAATTTGGTCACTCAATCTACGACTGTTTGGCTGCTGCGTTTTGCCCACAAAATACACAGTCACAACACTTTATAGGATATTCTGTGAAGCGCTTTGAGTCGTCTCGATGACGTGATAAGAGGCTATATTAAATGCAAGGGTTATTATTATCACTACCAGTCTGTGCTGGTGTCGCTCAGGTGCTTGCTGTTGGGACACTACTTGGAAGTTGAAAAACCTTCTTAGTCTTAGGACCGTTTATTTTAAAATGTAAAGAAAAGAGGCTTCAGAACTTTGGAAACTAAATTAAATTCAGTTTTGGAAACTGGTATTCCAGAGACCTAAAAAACTGCAAGGTTCTTTCTTCATATCCACACACCAGCCAATGAAGCAATCCATATCTGAGGTGCGGAAGCATTTCTTCCCACGGAGAGTTGTGCAGTATGGAAAGTTACGCTGTAGAGAGGCCAAGGTCAATTAACGAAAGGAGGATGACGACAGGGCAAGGCACTGGGGTTTCTGAGACAAATTCCACACGCGCATCACCCCAATCCTCGCCAAGCGCCACTGGCTTCCTGTGTCTGAAAGGATTGTTTTACACAATCCTCACCCTCACACACAAATCCCTTCACACCCCAGTACTGCCGTACATCTGTGAGCTGCTCCTAACCCACTCCTCTGCCGCCCCAGCCCCCCCCAGGGCTGTGCCTTCCACCACTATGCCCCTAACCTCAATCTCTGGGTCTCGCCCCTCTACTAAGCTTTAAATCCCACCTGAAGAATTACCTCTTTAACTGTGCCTACGGTCACCTCCCCCTTCTCCCTTGTTCGGTGTCTAACCCCCCAGCAGTGCTCTGACACTATCTTGTGTGAAGGGCACTGTATAAACGGAAATTGTTGGGATTAAAACTGACTTGTCGTTTCCTCTCTAGATTAAAGCCAACCTGGAAAAGGCCAAACAGACGCTGGAGAGTGAACGGAACGAGCTGGCCGGAGAGGTGAAGAGTCTGATACAGAGCAAAGGGGAATCCGAGCACAAGCGCAAGAAGGTGGACTCTCAGTTTCAGGAGGTGCAGCTGAAATTCACTGAGGGAGAGCGCACCAGATCCGAGCTCGCCGAGAAGGTGGTCAAGCTTCAGGTAGGTTCCCAGTGGAGTGATCATGGCCTCACACGCTGAATCGGAAGCATGCAACAAGCAATCGCAGTGAATATCGTCTACCTATCATGGGAAACTGTATTATTCCACTCCCTCCCCCCAGAAGTGGTAATTGTCAGCCTGGCTCAGTCAGTAGCTCTCTAGCCCCTGAGTCAGAAGGTATCACATGCTCTACATCACAAATTTGAACTCAGTCCTGGCTTAATATCTTACAATCCAATGTGGTTCTGAGGGGAGCTCTGCATCGTTGGACGTGCCGACCTTCGAATGAGACATGAAGCCAAGGTCCAAGTGATGTAATGAGAAGAGAGTTTCTCCCTGTGCCCTGGCCAAAAACCCATCACCACCACCACCAGATAAAACTGGATATTCATAGTCATTCTGTGCTGTACAGGGCTACCTCAGGACTACTTTTGTCTTTAAAATGTGAAATTGCGTAGAATTGTGGAAAACTCTTTTAAGGTTGAGTCTGAACCCGGAAGCCCATTCTTTTTAAGAACTGCTTAAAAATGGCTTCCATCCTGGAGTCCCTTCCCTCACCTCCTTCATGGTGCACCTAAGACCTTCCTCTTTGACTGTGCTTTCAGCCATGTTCTCCCCACCTCAGCTGCAAATCCTGGACTGTCCAGCGACGTGGGACGTCATCCATCAGGAAAGCGCTGTAAAAATGTAAATTTCTATTGTTTTCCAAATTGAGAGATAATTTAGGAATTTTCCACAGGAATTTTGAGACTAATTGACCTTTCAAGCAAATCCCACATCATTTCAGCCATATCTTCTGTCTGAAGAGACATGTAGCATCCTGGGGACGTCCTTTTGACATTAAAAGCTCTATAAATAATTTGTTTATGGTTGTGATTTGAATCTGTCCATGGATCAGACTTGCCGTTGTGTCGCGCAGTCTGCTAACTTGCACTTCTCTTCTCTGTACAGGCTGAGTTGGACTCTGTGGGCGGGCTTCTGAACCACGCCGAGAGCAAGTCCATTAAAATAACCAAGGACCACTCCGTGCTGGAGTCCCAGCTGCAGGATACCCAGGTGTGTGTAAGGAGGGCGTGTTGGTGCGCATGAAACTTACTTGAATGAAGCTTATTCAACAGTGCATGAACCTTTCAACTGATGACATCGGCCTATAATCCCTCCACCTCATCCCTCTAAATCCTGCCTCGTCGACCTTGCCTCTGGTCCGTTCTCCTTTGCTTGGCATCTAACTGATGCACTCCGAGATGTCACCCTACACCAAGGATACATAAATCCGCAGCTCACATCTCTTGCTGATGTCCTTCTCCTTGTTCTTTTCCCACAGGAGCTGCTTCAGGAGGAAACTCGGCAGAAGCTGGCTTTGAGCACCAAGCTGAGGCACATGGAGGAGGAGATGAACACCCTGCGGGAGCAGTTGGAGGAGGAGGAGGAAACCAAGAGAAACCTGGGCAAGCAGGTCCAGGGCATGCAGACCCAGGTCAGCCAATCTTCTCCTGATACCTTCTGTCCCTCTTTCCCCTCACCCCCCCTCTTCAGCTCCTACCCCTGCCTCGGGTTCCTAGCCCCACTGTGAAAGAAACTCTTTTGAGACGTCCTCCCGACGTGAAAGGCACTTTATGAATGTAAATTGTCTTGTGTGTTGTGAAAGTTTCCTGCTGTTGACCGGTGCCCCATTCTGCAATAGCACATCACAGTATAGTGTCAAAGCCTGGCTCAGTTGGTAGCATTCTTCACCCTGAGACAGAAGTTGTGGGTTCAAGCCCCCAAGTCGGGAGTTGGAACTCAGAGTCTAGGCTGATGCTCCAATGCAGTGCTAGGGGCGGGGGGTGGATTGACAGAGTTGCCGTCCTTCAGTGAGACGTTAAACTGAGGCCCCATCTGCCTATGGTCACCAATTTCTCGGCTGGTTGTTGGACATTGGTGTAGCATATTGGCTGTCACGTTTGCCCACGTAATGCACGCAGCCATATCTCTTTATAGTATATCTCTGTGACTTGCTAATTCCATATAGATCTCTCCACTTGGCAGGCTCCGGCCTGCTCCACATCCCCCGCCCAGCCCGCTCCACCATTGGCGGGCCTTCAGCCTCTCCGCCTCCCCCCTTTGCAACTCCGTCCCACAGTCCCTTCGCCTGGCTCGTCCCTTTGCCTCCTTCAAGGCCCATCTCAAGACTCTCCTCTTTGACTGTGCCTCCGCTCACCCTCCTAACTCTACCTCTCTGACTCTGGACTGACCTCTGCAGCTGACCGACACCAAGAAGCGGATGGACGATGGGTTTGGCTCCCTGGAGCACTCAGAGGAGGTGAAGAAGAAACTGCAGAAAGACCTGGAGAGCTTGTGCCAGCGTCACGAGGAGAAGGTCGCGGCCTATGACAAGCTGGAGAAGACCAAGACCCGGCTCCAGCAGGAGCTGGACGACCTGATTGTCGACCTCGACCACCAAACCCAGATCGTCTCCAGCCTGGAGAAGAAGCAGAAGAAGTTTGACCAGGTGAGTGGTGTATTGTGCAGGGTCGAGAAGGGCAAGTTTGCGGGTTCAAACCCAATGTCTTGAAACTCTGTTTAGCCTGACACTAACACAGTGCTGGACGAGCGCTGATTTATTGGAGGTGACGTCCTTCGAACATAAGAATTTGCTGGCGATAGAAGACCATCCAGTTCACCTTCTACCAACCTAACTGGCAGTCGATTGACATGTGTGTCCCAAACTATATATTGTATCCCCAGGTGTTAATTCCTAACAGAAATCTCTCTCATTTGTTTGCTTCAGTGCTTCTGGTAGAGCCTTTCATGTTTAAATAACTGTCTTATTTGTTTTTTTCGTTAACCTCTGTCTCTACGGAGACCTTAATTGATTTTCTAGTGACCAACTGCTGGCAGTAGTTCCCACCTCTGTACCTCATTGTAACTGCTGATCACGTTGAATGCCTGTGTCAGGTCTCCTCTCAACACACACTGTTGTTTCAGATGCTGGCTGAGGAAAAGAGCATCTCAGCTAAATACGCAGAGGAGCGTGACCGGGCTGAGGCCGAGGCCCGAGAGAAGGAGACCAAGTCCTTGGCGCTGGCCCGGGCCCTGGAGGTAGCCATCGAGCAGAAGGAGGAGCTGGAGAGGCTGAACAAGCAGCTCCGCGCCGAGATGGAGGATCTCGTCAGTTCCAAGGACGATGTTGGAAAGAGTGTAAGTTAATGAGCAGCTGGAAACGTGCCGGGATTAGAATAGGTCCCCAAGACGCATGTTTGGGATAGGTTATGGGTAGATGGATACTATGATGGATACATAGGAACAGGAGTAGACCAATCAGCCGCTTGAGCCTGTTCTGCCATTTATAAGATCGGGGTTGATCTGTACCTTAACTCCAATTACCTGCAATTACCCCATATCCCTTAACACCCTGATCTAAAAAACATCTGTTCACCTCAGTCTTGAAAATTTGAATGGATCCAACATCCATTAGCAGATACTAGGACCCAATTGTTAGTTGATTGGCGGTTCGCTTTCCAGGTGTAATAATCCCTCCCCTCTCTCACCCCACGCCTCCCTCCCCCCACAAAATGTGGTCACTCAATCCACGACTGTTTGTGGGACGCTGCTGTGTGCAATTGGCTGCTAAGTTTTGCCCACAAAATACAGTCACCCCACTTCACAATATGTTCTGTGAAGCGCTTTGAGTTGTCTCAACGATGTGATGAGGCACTGTATCAAATGTGAGGATTATTATTGTATTCCTTTCTGCTCTTGTGGTTCTGGTGCCTGAGCAGCACAGGGCAGTGGCATCTCCTGACCAATCAATATGTGTTTGTTCCCCGTGTAGGTGCACGAGCTGGAGAAGTCTAAGCGAGCCCTGGACCAGCAGGTGGAGGAGATGAAGACCCAGCTGGAGGAACTGGAAGACGAGCTCCAGGCCACGGAGGACGCCAAACTGCGTCTAGAGGTTAACCTGCAGGCCATGAAGGCCCAGTTTGATCGGGACCTGCTCGGCAAGGACGAGCAGAGCGAGGAGAAGAGAAGGCAGCTGGTTAAACAGGTCTGTGCGCGTTCAAATCCCTCCACGGCCTCGCCCCACCCTTCATCAAGCCGCTCGACCCAGCCGCTCATTT